AAGATCATCTGAGTTCTCAGCATTGTAACGACATCAGTTTTCTAGTTTTGACCATGCACTGGGGCTGTGAAAGATGTTATCACTGGAGGAACTGTATGAGCAACTTTTTGTGAGTCTGGAACTATTTCAAAATAAAAAGTTATAATAAATTTTTTTTAAAAAACGTGCCCTGGCTGGTTTGGCTCAGTGGGTAGAGCGCCAGCCCACTGACCCAAGGGTCCCCAGTTCGATTCCGGTCAAGGGCACATGCCTCGCTTGCAGGCCCCTTCCCTGGCCCTGGTTGGGGTGCGTGCGAGAGGCATGATGTTTCTCTCTCTGCCTCTCCCCCTCCCTTCCACGCTCTCTGAAAATCAACGGGAAAATATTCTCAGTGAGAATTAACAGCAACAAAAACAAAAAATGTGCCTGGCCCATTTTTCATTCCATCTTACTTGCTCAATTTTCAGTGTTCTTTTTCTGGCCAGCTCTAATCCCCTCAAAACGCGTAACAAGTCTCCTTTCGGGGTGTGGGGGGCAGGGGGGGGGAGCTTCCCACTGAGTTCTCGGGGAGTGAAAGACTTCCCAGACGCAAGCTCTGCGGCTGCAAACATCCTTATGAATCACCTGTCATTTTCACGCCAACCATTGTCTTACGCCGTGTGTCATTATCTACGCGCTGTTTCCCAAACCTGGAAACGCGCCAGCATGGCAGGCCTCTGATGCTGAAAAGAGGGAAAAGGATTTTAGAGAATTAACCAAGTCTTCTGAACCCCAGCGGACGCGTTGCTTTGCGAGGAGCCCAGCCTGGCGGCTGGTGGGGGGAGAAAGATAAGACTGCCTCTTCGCAGCTGCTTTTTATGTGCAACAAAACCCTTGGGGATGACCAAGACGCATGGTCTAGTTTTATGGGGGTTTTTTTTATAATTTTTTATATATATATTTTATTGATTTTTCACAGAGAGGAAGGGAGGGGGATAGAGAGTTAGAAACATCGACGAGAGAGAAACATCGATCAGCTGCCTCCTGCACATCTCCTACTGGGGATGTGCCCGCAACCCAGGTACATGCCCTTGGCCAGAACCGAACCCGGGACCCTTCAGTCCGCAGGCCGACGCTCTATCCACTGAGCCAAACCGCTTTCGGCATAGTTGTTATGTTTTTAAGAGATGACGGCAGTGGGTTGCAGGTTCAATCCCCAGTGGGGGGCGTGCAGGAGGCAGCCAATAATGATTCTCTCTCATCATTGATGTTTCTATCTCTCTCTCTCTCCCTCTCCCTTCCTCTTTAAAATCAATGAAAATTTTTTTTTTATTAAAAAAAAGAGGGAGATGATGGCAGGATAAACGAGGCTACAATGGAGTCTTATCACACTATACCGTTTTTTAAAATAAACATGTTCTGTTTGTGTGTGTGTGTTAATCCTCACTCAAGGATATCTTTTCCCGTCGATGTTTCAGAGAGTGGGAGAGAGAGACACATGGATTGGTTGCCTCCCACATGCACCCCAACCTGGGGATCCATCCCGGGGGTGGCCTACAACCCAGGTACGTGCCCTTGACCTGGAATCGATCCCGCGACCCTACAGTGCGCAGGCCGACGCTCTAACCGCTGAGCCCCGCCGGCCAAGGTCACGTGCCCTACTTTTTGTACCATGTGGAAATCATACCCATTCACAACATTAACGAGAGGCCCTGGCCAGGTAGCTTAGCTGGTTAGAGCATTGTCCTGATACGCCAAGGTGATGGGTTCGACCCCCAGGCAGGGCACATGCAAGGAGCACCCAATGAATGCATAACTACATGGAACAACAAATCGATGTTTCTCCCTCTCTCAAATCAATAAATAAAAGCTCTAAAGTTTTTTTAATTAACTAGGAATACACACAGACGCTCGTGCAAGTCTCGCTGGGTTCACACTTGGCCCCTTCTTGCTGTGTGGCCTTGGGAACCGCCCGTAGCCTCTCTGTGCCTCATGTTTTCCTCTGTAACGTGGGAGTGACGGTAGTTTCGGTTTCATCAGCTCTCAAGGAGGTTAAGTAAGTTGACATTCGTGAGGAACATGGACTAGCTCCCGAAGCAAAATAATTACTCTGTGTGATGATGGCGGTCCCCCATGTGGCTGTGACTGTGGTTGTTATGTGTGACTTGCTTGCCCTCGGATCTCTTCGTGGCCATGTCATGGTGTCCACATCTCCCCTTTTTCTCTCCACCGGGGTCGGGAACTCTTCTGCCTCCTGGGCCAGGCAGGCCGCGTAAAGCAGGAGAGCAGACTGGACATGGGCCCCAGAACGTCACGGAACGGTCCCAGGGCAGTGGCCATCCGGAGCTTGCTGGTGGTGGACTGTGGCCACGTGGGAATACATGTATGAGGTCGCCGGATGTCTGATGTCACCGCCTTTTCCAGGGAAGCCTGAACTCTCCTGACCTTTCAGTGCTGGTGGCTGCGTTTTCTAAATGCCTAGGACAGAGAGCCCAAGAGTAAACACGTGCAGATAAGGTCAGCTGGTCATGAACAAGGGCCCCAAGAATACCCAGCAGCGGGGGTGTTTGGGGAGGGAGAGGATGGTTTCTTTAGCAAATTGTATGGGGAAAACTGGACATTTGGATGTTTGAATGAAACTGGACATTTATCTTACACAGAAAAATCAACTCAAAATAGATTGAAGACTTGTACAGAAGACCTGAAATAGTGAAATTCCTAGAAGAAAACATGGAGGGGAAGTTTTGTGACATGGGTCTTGGCATATGCCCGGGTTAAGGGCTCAGTCCCCAGTTGGAGGGGGGCATGCAGGAGGCAGCCGGTCAATAGTTCTCTCTCATCATTGATGTTTCTATCTCTCTCTCCCTCTCCCTTTCTCTCAGAAATCAATAAAAATATTTTTTTTAAAAAAAGAATGACAACAAAAGCAAACACTGTGCTCCAGCAACAGCTTCCACTGCTTTATCCTATATAATAAAAGCCTAATATACAAATCGACCAAACAGCAGAACGACCGGTCGCTATGGCATGCACTGACCACCAGGGGGCAGACAACGCAGGAGCTGCCCCCAGCCCAAAGGCCCCAGGCCAGCCAAGGCGGGTACCAGTGCCCCCCCTCCAACCCCTATCGCCCTGCCGGTTGTCCCACTGATCAGCCCTGATCGTTGGCCAGGCCTAGGGACCCTACCCATGCATGAATTTCGTGCACCAGGCCTCTAGTATGTAATAACTCCTTCCATTTTTCCAACATTGTAGGAGAAAAGTGCTCTAATTATTCCTGTTTCACTGATGAGACACTGAGGCACAGAGAGTCTTGGTAATTTGCCCAAGATCCCCCAGTTAGCACGTGACAGAGCAAGGATTTAAACTCTTAATAGCCTGGGTTCCAGAGTCTGTCTCTTAATTCGTGTCAAATGCAACTGGCAGTTTCACAACTGTTTGTCATGGTAAATGGATGGTTAGTAAGGGCATTCATTCTTCCCTCCTTGGGGGCATTGGTCCATTCAGTGAATATTAACTAATCACCTACTATGTGCTAGGCATGGTTGACCTTGATATGGATGCTTTGTGCTCACTGAGGAGCATGTATTCCAGTCGAGGAGACAGACAGAACGAACAAGCAAAGCATTACATGTGTCCTGCGATTTTGTGGTGGATAAAGGTGTGCCCACCAGCAAAGGTGTCCTGTGAATCTCTGATCTTCCTTGGAGACTTTGAAGATGTGATTAAATAAAAGATTTTTAGGTCCTGCGTCGGAAGCTACCCATTGTCTTCACTATCAGAAAAGCGTAAATGAGGAGCCCGGAATGCTGGTGAACCTTGAGCTCTGGCAAGGGCCAAAGCTATGCACCAATTGTTTAGTCGAGACAATGGTGGCTCAATCAATTTCCTGACCGAATAGTCTCAAAGTAAATCTTCACTAATATTTACTGACCTTTAAGATAGTCTGTCTGTTACCGGAATTGCCTGCCTGACTAAGGGCAATATGTGTATCCAAAACCAAATAAAAGGTTGGCAAGGCCTGGGCGCCAGTGAAGTCCTTTCCCCTGCGTTGGACTCTCCGCCTGGCCCCCAATTTCTAAATTATTATTTCTCGTCCTGTCTCGTCATTTGCCCACAGCCCTTCTCCAGATCCCGAACCCTAAGCCACGCGGGATGTGGCTTCTGGATTATCTCAGTGGCCCCATAAAACCACGAGGGTCCTTGGAAGAGAGAGGCAAGAGCATCCGAGTTAGACGGGGCCATAGGACCGTGGGAGCAGAGGGTGGGGCGATGCCACTGCTGGCTGTGATGCTGGAGGAAGGGACCACCCTCCGGCCAAGACGGCAAGGAATGGGTTCTCCCTGAGAGCTTCCCGGATGGACTGAGCCCCCTGAGGCTAACTTTTTTTTAATAGCAAGGTGTTGGGACCTGCTCCATCAGGTAACCAAAATCTATTTTATTGATTTTCTTCTAATATATTTATTTATTTATTTTTTGTAGAGAGAGAGGGAGAGGGAGAGAGAGAGAGAAACATCAATGAGAGAGAAACATCAGCATCGATCTCTGTTACTTCCTGTACACCTCCCCTCCGGAGGCCGCACCGAGGACTGAGCCTGCAACCCAGGCTTGTGCCCTGACGGGGAATCAAACCCGTGACCTCTTGGTTCATGGATTGACACTCAACCACTGAGCCACACTGCCTCGGCCCAGTGAGACTAACTTTATGTGTGTTTTTTTGTTTGTTTTTGAGACTAACTTTTGACTTTGACTTCCAGAAGAGAATAGCTATATGTTGTTTTAAGCTAGTAAATTTGTGGTCATTTCACAAAGCAGCAATAGGAAATGAATACAGATGTTTATACTGGTAAATTTTACACTGAGGAGAGTATATGTGAGGTTATATAGCTTACCTATGTAATAAATATATAAGGGTACATATAATCAGAGTGCATATACTGATAATAAGGGTAAAGAAAGCCACCGTACGTAAATGGGGAGGAGGGAGCCAGGGAAAGCTACTCTGAGGGGGGGGGGGGGACACTTTATTTCATTTATCCTTTTTTATTTTTATTTTTTTCAATTACAATTGCCATTCAATAGTATTTGTAATACATTTCTTTCAGGTGTACAGCATAGTGTTAGATGATTACATAATTTACGAAGTGATCCCTGGAGATGACACATTTTATTTTATTTTTATTTTTTGAGAGGGAGGGAAGAAGAGAGACAGAAACATCCATGTGAGAGAGAAACTCGATTGGTTGCCTCCCATACACCCGCAATCCAGGCATGTGTCCTGACCAGGAATCAAACCCATGACCTTCCGGTGCCCTGGCCAACGAACGCTCCAACCGACTGAGCCACACCGGCTAGGCAAAGAGCATTCTGGGTAGGAGAAACAGCCAGTGCAAATGTCCTGAGGTGGACTGCGCTTCACAAGTCTTAAGCAGCAGCACTGGGCAGGTGGGGCAGGTGCGAGAGACGGGGAGAGGCTGTGAGATGAGGTCCAAGCAGGGACACATGAAGATCCTAACTTCTACTCCGGTGTCGTCAAAGTCTTCCAGGTCAGGCCTGTAGGTCTATCCCGTGGCTGCGGGCTATGGCACAGCAGCCCGGACGAAGGCCTGCTATTGAGAGCAAGGTTACAGATGAGAGACATTCCTGGCACCACGTCAGCAGGAAAAAGAAAGAACTCCCACCGGCCCCCTGCCACCACCCGTTTACAACATGCTTCCGGCCGTCTCCCCTTAAGACCACTCAATACCCCGTAAGCGTCTTCTGTTTTGTTCATCTTTGATTCCTAATTCCTCCAAAGCCACGCTGTCCAATCAAAATACAGTGGGAGCCGCCTATGTCATTTTACATTTCCCAGTAGCCACCTTAAAAGAATGAGAAAGACGTAAGTGAAATTTCTGTTTTAATTTCGGTAGAATCTGTTATTTAAGCCAGGATAGCCAAATGAGGGCCATTGCCACAGGGAGTCAATATAACGTTTTTAATAAGAGAGTTTACTTCTGTTTTTTTTTAATCCTCACCGAGGATACACTCTTGTTATTTTTTCACTCTTTATTGTGGGTTTTTTGTTTTAATCCTCACCCAAGAATATGTTTTTCATTAATTTTTAGAGAGAGAGAGATGAAAAAAAACATTGACCAGTTGCCTTCAGCATGCAACCTGGGTATGTGCTCTGATGGGGAAATCAAACCTGGGGCCCTATGGTGCACAGGACGACACTCTAACCAACTGAGCCACATCGGCTGGGGCTCAAGGGGCTGTTTGAAGTTCAATCTGGAGGCTCCTCATGACAAATTCCAGCAAAGAAGCTTTAATACTGAATGCAGCCCCAGCCAGTTTGGCTCAGTGGATAGAGTATTGGTCTGCGGACCAAAGGGTCCCGGGTTTGATTCCAGTCGAGTGCATGTACCTCGGTTGCAGGCTGCTCCCCGGGCCCGGGCCCTGGCCAGGGCTCCTGCAGGAGGCAACCAATCAATGTGTTTCTCTCACATCAAAGTTTCTCTCTCGTCTTTCCCTCTCTCTTCCACTCTCTCTGAAAATCAATGGGAAAATATCCTCGGGTGAGGATTGACAACAACAAATAAATGAATAAAGGTGATTAAATGTGAAGAAGAAGGAGGTGGAGGTGGAGGTGGAGGAGAGGAAGAAGAGGGAGGCTACCATGAGAGTTTGCTAGGAGCAAAGCTTAACCTGGGGCTGGAGCAGGGGATGGAGGGGACCCCAGTGGGAGTCAGGGCACAGGAGGCACCAGGTGTGGGAAGGGTTGATGAGGGAGAGTAGAGGGAAGCTAAGTGTCTGGAGGACTGGGGACCCCGGGGGTGGAAGAGGAGCAGGTCAGTGAACACCCTGGGCTCAAGTGGCCTTGGTGGGGATGGAGCGGGGGCACCCCTGTGCGTGGGTGGGGTAGGGCTGGGTAGAGTATAGCTGCACAGCTACTCAGGTCAAAACAGGATCACCCTTGACTCCTCGCTGCTTCTCACGCCCGCCTGTGCTCCGTCAGCAAGTCCTGCCGGCTTATTTAAAGCAGCGGTTCTCAACCTGTGGGTCGCGACCCCTTTGGGGGTCAAACGACCCTTTCACAGGGGTCGCCTAAGGCCATCGGAAAACACATATATAATTACATATGGTTTTCGTGATGAATCACTATGCTTTCATTATGTTCCATTTGTCACAATGAAAAGACACCCTGCATATCAGATATTTACATGACGATTCGTAACAGTAGCAACATGACAGTGATGAAGTAGCAACGAACACAATTTTATGGCTGGGGGTCCCCACCACATGAGGAGCTGTATGAAAGGGTCGCGGCATTGGGAAGGTTGAGAACCGCTGCTCTAAAGGAATGAGAAGGAGACCCCCTTTTCCCTGCCCTCTGCCACCAACCTGGTTACTGTAACCTCGCCTCTGCAGTCTGCCGCACGGACGCCAGAGGGAGCCGGTGAGCAGACCAGCCAGACCCTGTCCTGCTTCTGCCCAGCACTGCCCGGGCTCCCAGGCCCCTCAGGACCCCGCCAGCAAAGAGCATGCCGTCTTTGCTCTTTAATCACTCGGTTCCGACACACACGACGTTGGGCAGGAGTCCCAGGTCCACGCACCAGAGGCAGTCGGATACCAGACCCGCCTGGAAACCGGGCAGGAGAGGTTCCTCACGGCTCCTCCCGCTGACCCCGGAGTCTGGGGCCCCCAGTCCCCCTGCAGGAACTCTCTCCCTGGGGGGGGGGGGGGGGCGGGTTTTACGATAAGACTTGTCCTGGCAGGCGGATCTCAAAGGACCTCCAGCGCAGGCTGACGGTGGGGACCTGTCCAAGGGCAGCGAGGAGCTGGAGGGGCTGTGAGCAGGGAGGGGCAGGGCGGGTCTGAGCATAGACAGCCCTCGGAGGCCACCTGGTGATGGACGGAGGGAATGAACTGGCCGGTGGGAGGTCGGGGAGGAGGCTGGGGTGAGGGGCCAGGGGCAGAGGAGGACACCTGAGCTGCAGCCAGGCCCAGGGCACAGAGAGGAGAGAACGAGGCAGAGAGAGGCAGGGACAGGAAGGAGCCAGACCGGGGACCTTGGGGCTGTAAGGGACAGGAGCAGAGGTCGCCACATGGCGAGGTGGACGGTGGGGCTGTCCCTCAGATGGGAAACATGGGAGGAGGCCAGTTTGGGGAAAAAGAGAGAGAGATGAGTCAGGACACACGGAGTGAGAGGGGCCTCCCAGGACCAGGTGGCCGCCCTAGGCAGGAGCTCAGGGTCAAATGGAGGAGATCTACGTGGTTGGTGGTTGAACCACGAGAGTTGATGAAAGACTCCAGGGAGGAGGAGGAGGAGGAGGAGGAGCAGGGTACAGGGCGGGACTCGGGCTGTGGTTAAGGTGAAGGACGTGTGGGGAGATGCCCAGGAAGGCACCCATCACCCAGGTCTGACTTGCCAGGATGGGAGGGAGGGGGACGCAGATGTCACCGTGCTGGGAGCAGGGCAGGTTGCCCACCCGGTGAGCCCGCCCTCGGACTCTGCTTATGGGGGGTTAGATGCCACCCTTCTCCCATATTATCTGTGGGGAAATCAACATTGGCCACTGGTCTTCTACACACCCAGCCCCCATATTGGCTCCCCTTCCCATAAAGGGGCTGGCTTTCCAGACTTGGGGAGGGGCCATGCTTATCATTTCAGCGCGTGATCTGAGGCCAGTCCTCCGGCTCTGTCTGCCTCCTCCTTAGTCAAACCAGCCAGGAGAGACTCAGCAATTGCCCAGGGCCCTCTCGCGTTCTGAGGCGTTGTAAGACAGCTTCAAATTCCCAGAGCTTTGGGTCATCTTAGTGATGATCACCAAGCCTCCAGAAAGCAGAATCCAGACTTCAAGCCTCAAAACCAGAATCAAGACTGTAGAATCCAGAGTAAAGGCTCCAGGCACTAAATTTATACTCCAGAGTCAAGATTCTAGGAGTCTAGTAATCATGGCAACCAGGTCCATGTCCGGATTCTTTTTTTTTCGGCCTCTTAAATATACCATGCAGATTTGAAACTCCAGACCATGCTCCAAAGTCAGCCCAGGAAATCTCAGAATCTAGAAGACCTAGACTCTAGAACAGCCGTGGGCAAACTATGGCCCGCGGACCGGATCCGGCCCGTTTGAAATGAATAAAACTAAAAAAAAAAAAGACCGTACCCTTTTATGTAATGATGTTTACTTTGAATTTATATTCGTTCACACAAACACTCCATCCATGCTTTTGTTCCGGCCCTCCGATCCAGTTTAAGAACCCAGTGTGGCCCTCGAGTCAAAAAGTTTGCCCACCCCTGCTCTAGAATCCAGGCTCCAACATTCAAAATCTACCATTCATACTCCAGGTTCCAGCTGTGTGACGATTTCTGACCTCAAGTCTTAGGTTGCAAATACTAGATTCCAAACTCACAGATTGGATGCTGGGTTCAAAGGCCCAGGATCTAGAATCCAACTCTGAGATGTCGCTCAAAGATCAGACCCAAATTCCAGAATGGAGACTCCGACAAAAGTCACACTCTAGAATTCAGGCCATGAATCCCCAGCTCTAGACCCCCAAATCCAGAATCCAGAACTGGAGAGCCAGAATCAGAGATCCACAACCAGAGATCTGGATCCAGAATCCAGGACCAGAGGTCCAGAATCCAAGATTCCGAACCCAGAATTGAGATGTCTAGACTTCAAGATCTAGAATCGGGTGTCTGGATCCAAAACCCAAGGTCCAGCATTGGAGATACTAGATACGGAACCCGACATCAGAAAAAGCAAAGACCCAGAGTCCAGAATCGGGGGGTCCAGAATTCAGAATCAGAGACCCAGAGTTGGGACTCTAGACCCAAGTCCAGAATTCAAGATCCAGAACCCTACTCCAGGCACAGGAAGCGTGGCTCTAGAACCCAGTTTCTACGCCCCAGACCCCACTTCCAGGTCACGGGCTCCAGAATCCAGGCTCTGTATTGCGACCCCCAGTTTTCAACTCTGGCCATCCTGCCTCTCCCCCGCCCTCCCCGCCTTGAGGAACGGCCCCCCGGAGGGGAAATTCCTCATTGTCGACTCAGACAAAAGTTTCAGCCCAATAAATGTTTACGAGGCCTCATCTCCCACCCCACCAGCCACCTAGGCGTCCAGCTTGTAAAGCCGCCTCCCACCCCACCCTACCCAACCTCCCCAGGCCCGGGTGGGGCGGCTAGCTTATAAATTCAAGCATTCCAGTGCCCTCTCCCCTTCTCCTGGCATCCAAGCTGCCCCAGATGCTGCTGGAGAATCTGAAGGGGGTAAGATGGTTGGGACAGGAGTAGGGGAGATGGGGGGGACGGTCTGCCCTTAGAGAGACACGTACACCACCCTGTGGAAGCCGAGAGTCCAGGTCACCCGGGTAGGCCCATGTGCCCTTTGCTGGTGGTCTACGCTGAACTTGAACCAAGAAAATGTCCTGGAGAGAAACAAGAAGGAGCTGTGTGTGTGGGGGGGTGGGGGAGGGGGGGGGATAGAGATGGGGATGCAGGGAGGGGGCTGGAGTGACTCTGGAGGATGTCCCTGAAATCACTTGTACCAAAGCCAAGAACAGGGTCAGGAGTTGTCACGGGTTCAAGCCAGCGCAGCCCAACTCCCTGAGGTGCGTCCCGTGCCAGGCCCCAGGCTGGGCAGGGCAGGGGACACGGAGAGAACCCAACCTGAGCACCCCTGGGGATCTGTGCTGTGACGGAGGCAGAACAGACACCGTGGGACCCAGGAGAGATACCTGTTAGGAATCAAGGCCTCCCAGACGTGGGGGCGGAGCCTCAGGGAGAAATATAAGTTTGGAGGAGGAGTTGGGGAGGCTGCCGGGCAGTGCTGGGGACCCCCCCAGCCCCAGGGAGTTCTGTCTGGCGGGGGAGGCAGACACCATGGCCTGGGAGAGCTCAGAAAAGGCCTCCAGGAGGCAGCGGACCTTGAAGGGAACGGCATAGCCGGAAGGAGGAACAGCCCAAGCAGAGGCGTGGAGGCATGAAATTGCAGGAGGGAAAGCGGAAGAATCCACTGTGTCTAGAAGGTTATGTCATGGGAGACCCAGCCAGCAAGGCCAGAAGGGGAGAAGCCATCCGGTCCTCGAAAGTGAGGCCGGGGGGGCTGGGACTTTCCCCTGGGGGCAGTGAGATTCATTCGAGCTGTGAGCACCAATCGGACGTGATCAACTCCAGGTGTAGAAAGACCCTGTGGGAACTTGAGTGGAAGAACCGACTCAGGGAGGGTGCGGAAGACCCAAGAGGCGGGATAGGAACCTGGCATAGGGTCTGGGGAGAGAATGTTTCCTGAGCCAGGACCTTGGAGATGGAGTGAGGTCGAACCTTCTGAGCTCGGCGTGTCAGCATTTTGAAAAACCCTAACTTAACTCTGGTGCCGTGTCACATATAGAAATGTTTTTGATCTTTGCAACCATAGTAAAAAAAGACTTATATTTTTGATATTTATTTTATATATTTAAATGCCATTTAACAAAGAAAAATCAACCAAAGAAATGAGTTCGCGTGTCCCCTCTGACACGCGTGTCATAGGCTCGCCATCACTGGTCTGGGGGCAGGTAGAACGGTGCTGGGCTCTGCCAGGCCGTGCGGGCACCTGGGAGTCTACTCCAGTGCCTGGAGGAATGGCAGACCCATCGCAGACGGGATTCCCGGGAGGAAGAGCAGGCTGCGGCTGGGGCTGGGGAACGAGGACGGTGAGAAGAAGTGTCTGAAGCAGCAGGCAGGATATGTCTGTGTCCTGAGGATACGTTTGTGTCCCGAGGGGTCCCGATGGGGGCAGGAGGAGCCAGCCTCACCCCGTTCACTCTCTCCTCTCCCCCAGACATCAGCAGAGCCCCAGTCCCTCCTCTACGATGTGGCTTCTCGTCTTTTCCTTCCTGCTGATTTCTGCAGGTGAGGGGGGCCCGGGCCAGGTGGGGACCCGTCTGTGGGAGTGGGGTGCTCCCTACACTCCCCCATCCTGAGCATATCCAGGTCCTGCAATCTGCCAGCCCCTCCTTTTCCCAGAAACCAACTGACGATTGGCTTCCTCCCTCACCCCTGCCCCACCTCGGCCACCTGCCGATATCTTTTGAGTCCTCACTCCATCATAACAGCTGTCAGGCGCACGGGGGGGGGGGGGGGGGGGGGGGGGGACCGCTGTGCAGTCCCCATGCCACGTGAGGCCCATGACAACAGACACAGCCACCCTGGGGTGGCACAGACCCGGGTTTCAGTTCTGGGGGCTGCTCCTCTCTTGACCCTGCCCCTTTCTGGTCAGGTTCCCCCACTGGCCCCTGGAGAGAGCAACAGATGTGGGAGGCACCAGGAAGGCCCTGTAAGAATGCGCTGGCCTTGCTGAGCGCTCAGTACCTGCCAGGCGCCGAGCTCGGCGCTAGGGAGGGTCACCTGATCCAAGCAGCATCCCCGTGGGGTGGGCCACGGGCCTCCTTTGGCAGAAGAGGGGCCTGTGACTCAGAGAGGGGAGGCCACCAGGTCAAGGTGACCCCAGGTGGCAGGAGCACTCCTGCCCACACTCACCTACCACCCGTGAAGAAGTTAACTGTAACCTGATGCCTCTACCCTGGGGGAGTCGAGGGGGGACTTTCATGAACTCCCTCACACACATGACCCTCTCCGCCCCAGGGGGAGCCTCCAACCTCCCCTCCTTCCCCTTCCCCCATCCGCTGCCAGCATCCCCTTGGGCTCTGTCCGTGCTCTCTCCTCCCCGCCTCCCAGCCTGCCTGCTGCGCCCTGCTGCCCCCCACCCCCCACCCTCCTCCGGCTGGGACTGGCCAGGTGCGGCCTCGGTGCCCAGCTGTTCAGCCAGCACCCTCTGCCCTTCTCCGAAGGACGAGCCACCCTTCCCTTGTTAAGTCCCTTGTCCACCTCATCCCAGTTCTCCCTGCCTTTGCCAGGGCTCTTGGCCCAGCTCCCAACCCTAGAGGGCCAAGAGCATGGGCATTTGATCTTGGCGGTGAAATCCTGCCCCAGGGTGGGTGGCATTGTGTGCCTGGCTGTGACCTTGAGGGGACATATGCATGTCGCCCAGTGTAGGGAGTCACGGTCCTATGACCTTGAAACATCCCCGTGGGTGTCCTTGTGTGTGGTGCTGTTGGAGGGAGGGGGAGTGCAGGTCCTGCTCATATATGTGTGAGCCAGGTACCCACATATGTGATGAGTGACGCTCTCCCCCAGCCCCCAGCCCCCAACCCCAGCCCCCAGCCCCCCCACGGCTCCTTCTTGTACATCCAGGACTTTTTCTTGGTTCAGGTTCAACTTGAACACCAAGCAACTGGCTTGGAGGCTGATCTAGAGATGGATAAATATGTCTCCAGCGAAACATATGTCCTTGACCTTGGAGGGCCAGACCCTGCATCCAGATATGGCCCTTTGAGTCCCCACAGAGTGGCTTGGGCCTGAGTCACAGTTTTGACCTGGACTATCTTGATCTGGGCCTGGTCATACATCTGACTGACTTTGGCTTAAATTTCTGTCCACAGCCTGGACATCCACACGTTCTCTCTGCATCAATAAATCCATGAGTCCTTTGTTTAAAATAACTAACACTTATTAAGCTGTCACCGTATGTCAGGCATCGCACACACACACCTCTCCCATCCTTACCACAATCCCATCTTACCGATGAGGAGACAGAGACACAGAGAGGTCAAATAATTTGCTCAGAGACTCACAGATAACATGTTTGGAGGCGGGGCAGGGGTTGAGGGGGTATAACTCTATCCCTCCAAATTTAACCACCATACTACAGAGCCATGCCTGTGCACAAGTTCTGGGGGGTCAGTGTCTCTCCACATGTACCTTTTAAAATATATATATTTTTTTTTGATTTTTTAAAAATATATATTTTATTGATTTTTTTTTTATTTTTTTTTACAGAGAGAAAGGGAGAGAGATAGAGAGTTAGAAACATCGATGAGAGAGAAACATCGATCAGCTGCCTCCTGCACATCTCCCACTGGGAAGTGCCCGAAACCCAGGTACATGCCCTTGACCAGAATCGAACCTGGGACCCTTGAGTCCGCAGGCCAACGCTCTATCCACTGAGCCAAACCGGTTAGGGCTCCACATGTACCTTTATTAAAGACCCCACCTTATCTGTCCACACCCCCATGTGCAAGTGTGAGCACCTGTGACCTGATGTGTGCGGACCCACGCTGTGTCTTCTGTTTGCAAGCTTGTCTGTGAGAGTGTGTGTGTGTGTGTGTGTGTGTGTGTGTGAGTGTGTGTGTGCATGCTGGCACACACGCCCATATCTTAACTGTCTACATTCCTACACACATATGAACCCCTGTGCTGTGAATATTTTTTTAAGATTTATTTATTATTATTTTGTTGTGGTTGTTAATCCTCACCCAAGGACATTTTTCCATTGATTTTTTTAAAATACATTTTTATTGATTTCAGAGAGGAAGGGAGAGGGAGAGACAGATAGAAACATCCATGATGAGAGAGAATCACCAATCAGCCGCCTCCCACATGGCTCCCCCGCCCCCCCACTGGGGATCAAGCCCACAATCCAGGCCCCTGCCCTTGGCCAGAACCGAACCCGGGACCCTTCAGTCCACAGTCCAACGCTCTATCCACTGAGCCAAACCAGCCAGGGCTCCATTGACTTTTCGAGTCTGCAACCGAGGTACGTGCCCTTGACCAGAATGAAACCCAGACACCTTTAGTCTGACAACCGATGCTCTATCCACTGAGCTAAACCGCGGGGCCCTGTAAGGTCTATGCTGTGATTCCTTTTTTTTTTTTTAATATATTTTATTGATTTTTTACAGAGAGGAAGGGAGAGAGATAGAGAGTTAGAAACATCGATGAGAGAGAAACATCGATCAGCTGCCTCCTGCACATCTCCCACTGGGGATGTGCCCGCAACCAAGGTACATGCCCTTGACGGGAATCGAACCTGGGACCCTTCAGTCCGCAGGCCGACGCTCTATCCACTGAGCCAAACCGGTTTCGGCTATGCTGTGATTCCTGAAGCTGCAACTCATGTAGGTGCAAGTGAGTTTCAGCTTCAAGCACTGCCCATATCAGTTCCCGCGTGTGGAAGACCCGTGGCGCCCGCCCCCTTGCCCATGACCTTGTGTGGTCTTGCCTGTGTCCTTGTACGTATGACACACTGCATTTGGCCGGGGTGCCCAGGCTCCGGAGCCAAGACTGTGTGTCATCCGTATTGAGTGGCCACATCCAGTTGATGCCTGTGACAGCTCAGTGACCTTGAACGGCTGGCTCCAAGTGGCCATCTGCCTGCGCGATACCCATTGTCCTTGTCTCTGCTCCCAATGACGGAACACTTCTCCTCCTCTGGCCCCTTCCCTGTCCCCTCCCTCCCAGAGCCCTTTGGCAAATGGCTGGGGGCCAGGGACAGGGGCACCGTTGTTGGGAAAATAAGCAGGAGTTGTAAAAGCTGGAGAGAGGGCGGTGCCTAAAAATCAAGACAATGTTTGGGGCAAGAACAGGTGAAAAATACATAGTGAGGGCAGGGTGCAAGGAAAAGAACCCTGACACAGCCCGGCCAGCCTGGCTCAGTGGGTGAGCATCGACCTATGAACCAGGAGGCCAGGGTTCAATTCCTGGAGGGGGCACATGCCCAGGTTGCAGGCTTCATCCTCAGTGTGGGACATGCAGGAGGCAGCCCATCAATGATTCTCTCTCATCTTTGATGTTTCTCTCTCTCTCCCTCTCTCTCTCTTCCTCTCTGAGATCAATAAAAAATATATTTTAAGAAAGAAAGAAGCCCTAACCGATTTGGCTCAGTGGACAGAGTGTCAGCCTGCGGACTGAAGGGTCCCAGGTTCGATTCCGGTCAAGGGCATGTACCTGGGTTTCGGGCACATCCCCAGTGGGAGGTGTGCAGGAGGCGGCTGGTCGATGTTTCTCTCTCATCAATGTTTCTAACTCTCTATCCCTCTCCCTTCCTCTCTGTAAAAAAATCAATAAAATATATTTTTAAAAAAGAAAGAAAAAAAGAAAAAGACTCTGACACCCCACCCCCCCACCCCCCACCCCTACCCCCCGCCCGCCCAGCAGCCCAGGACAACAGCGGCAAGGTGATGAAGGGCGAGGTGTGCGTGCCCCACTCCCAGCCTTGGCAAGTGGCCCTCTTCGATCGCAGCCGCTTTAACTGCGGGGCTTCCCTCGTCTCCCCATACTGGGTGCTGTCTGCAGCTCACTGCCAAACCCGGTAGGAAGGCGGGGCTCAGGGTCCTGAGGACCTTGGCGGGGAGGGTCTAGGGGTCTGAGAACCTTGACTCTGCAGAAGAGCCAGCTGGAGCCTGAGGACTGAGTTCCAGGCGTGCGCATGCCTGTGGGCGCTTTGGTCCCTGGGGGTGGGAAGGGGGTGTGTGTGGGGGGGGGAGGGCAGGGGCTGGACCGATCGGCTTTGGGGCTTTGCGGGGAGGGCAATAGGATGTCTAGATTCCAAAGGGGTCGGGGCGCCCCAGGTTGCCCGCTCTTTTATGTTTCTGTCTACTCCTCCCCTGCCCCCGCGGGTAATCGCTCGCCCGCCGCCTGCACAGCCACATGAGAGTCCGCCTGGGCGAGCACAACCTGCGCAAGCACGACGGCACCGAACAGCTGCGGGCTGTGAGCCGCATCATCCCGCACCCCGGCTACGTGGCGCGCACCCACCGCGACGACCTCATGCTGGTGCGCCTAGCCCGGCCCGCGCGCCTCTCCCCGCAAGTGCGCCCCGTGTCACTGCCCACGCGTTGCCCCCAAGCCGGCGAGCCCTGCGTGGTGTCCGGCTGGGGCCTGGTGTCCGCCTACGAGACTGAGACCACGGGGAGCCAAAAGTCACCAGGTGCGTGGGGACCCTGTCCCCCGGGGAGGGCTCTTGGGCGGGAGAGAACACGGGCCCGAAAAATGGATGGAGTCACTCAAGGCTCGCTGTCCTCCCAGTGGATCTCCCAGACACCTTGCACTGTGCCAACATCAGCATCATCTCCGACTCGTCCTGTAGCAAGGACTACCCAGGGCACCTGATGAGCACCATGGTGTGTGCAGGGGTGGAAGGCGGAGGCACCGACTCCTGTGAGGTCAGAGCCAAGGGGGGGGCACGCCCCGAGGAGAGGAAGGGACCCGAGTTTGGGAGTAGGGGCGGGGGGCGGGAGTGGGGGTCGGATTTTGCTTGCTTGGGGCCAGAGAAGGTACTAGGGGTGGGTTCGGGGATGGAGAAGGAAGGGCAGTTAGAATGCGGGTGAGGTTGGAGTTAGAGACCGTGGTGGGTTTGGGGTGGCGGATGTGGTGGTGGGTTTGGGGTGGCGGATGTGGTGGTGGGTTTGGGGTTGCGGATGTGGTGGTGGGTTTGGGGTGGCGGATGTGGTGGTGGGTTTGGGGTGGCGGATGTGGTGGTGGGTTTGGGGTGGCATGGGCTGGAGTTAGGATGCCAGTGACAGGGCCATGGGTGTGGATCTGTTTCCGTTTTGAATGGGAACGGTGTCGGGGTTGGGGTGGGCGGGCGTGGGGCTGGACATGGGTTGGCTGAGTGGGGTTGGGTCGGGGTCTGGTTGGTTGGGTTCACCTGGGTTGTCTTGGGTTAAGATGGGGTGGGGTTGGATGTGGATTGAGATTGTGAATGGTGGTTCGGAGGAGGCTGGGAACACAAGACCCGAAGCTTCTCACTCCAGCTTCCCCTTCTCCCCGCAGGGTGACTCCGGGGGACCCCTGGTCTGTGGGGGCATCCTGCAGGGCATTGTCTCCTGGGGGGACGTCCCCTGCGACACCACCACCAAGCCTGGGGTCTACACCAAAGTGTGCAAATACTTGGACTGGATCCGGGACACCATGAGGAGGAACTGACTGTTTTGGACCTACCCACCCACCCCGACCCCCACCCCTCGTGTCTCTGACTGAGCACACACTCCCATGGCCGCTCATCCTGACCTGGGACAGAATCAGCCACCACCCGCCCCCCCCACCCCCTCCAAAAAACCCCATTTGTCCAAGGCCCCGTGTTAGCCAAGGGCTTGTCCGGTCTAATGTTGGTGCTCACAGTCACCTGTTTAACACCAAGATAACAGCACGGGTGCAAGTTTCTCTGCAAACGTTTCTGTGACTTTCTTCTGGGGATGAGGGGACATGGGAACCAGAGACCGGGCGGGGAACCCAGACCCGATGTACGTGGTTCCTTTCCACCCACTGTCCTGACCCCTAGGTGAGGAGAAATGGCCTGAAAGCAGGGGCTCTGTTCCCTCCACGCATGCGATCGGCTGTGTGACCCTGAGAAAGAGGCTCAACCTCAGTTTCCACGGCTGTGAAGCAAGGGCCCTCATATGGCTTCACTCATAGGGTTAAGGGAGGAAATTCATATGAACGGACTCAAACAGGACCTGGCACGGGGGGGGAGTGCGCTGTATCTCCGCACACGTGACTACATGGTCAAGAATGAGTACATTTTTCTTTTCAAGGTTTGGTTCCCGGCTTCCTGGTAGCCATGGCAAAAAGGCAAATACTCTCCTGTCCTGGCCTAAAGCAGAGACTGGGACCCGGTGAGCTGTCTCGATTTTACCAAAGAGCCAGGAGAGCCCCAACCGGTGTGGCTCAGTGGATAGAGCGTCGGCCTGCGGACTAAAGGGTCCCAGGTTCGATTCCGGTCAAGGGCATGTACCTTGGTTGCGGGCACATCCCCAGTAAGGGGTGTGCAAGAGGCAGCTGATCGATGTTTCTAACTCTCCCTTCCTCTCTGTAAAAAATCAATAAAATATATTTTAAACAAACAAGCAAAAACAAAGAGCCAGGAGAACAGGGTGTACCATGGAGGCTGCAGGAATCTAGTCTTTTATTCTCATCAGAGATAAGAAAATAAAAATAAAGTGATTTTCAAGGTCACTGGATGTTGAGGTACATAAATCTGGCCCCTGAGGACTCTCTATTCCAGCGGCTCTCAACCTGTGGGTCGAGACCCCTTTGGGGGTCGAACGATCCTTTCACAGGGGTCGCCAAAGACCATCGGAAAACACAGAGATAATTACATATTGTTTTTGTGATGAATCACTCTGCTTTCATTATGTTCAATTTGTAACAATAAAGTTGGGGGTCCCCACAACATGAGGAACTGTATGAAAGGGTCGCGGCATTAGGAAGGCTGGGAACCACTGCTCTATTCTATTGGGAGAGGAGAGACTGCAATTGGAGGAGGTGATGCTCTTGACCTTGGAAGGCAATGGATTCCTGAGACTTGAGGACATGACCTTGAGCATCGAGATCTGGGGAACCAGGAGGTGGGGAGGGGAAGGGGATCCCAACACTGCTTGGGGGAACAATGGTTTTTGAAACTCCAGGGAACATATGCAGGGGGACCACTGAAACTTTCTATTTCTGGATCTGGGGAGGGGCCTAGAATTGAAATGGGCACCCCAAGATTTTATTATGAGAGGAACAATAGATTCGAGGACCTAGGCGATCGGAAAGCCAAAGCTTCTACTTCAGGGGCATCGAGAAGCCGAGAAGTTGGCATCTCGGCTCCGAGCAGTGCAGGGAGCAGGGAATTGGAGCCCCACTGTCGGTATTTGAGGGGACACGGGGGCTTCCTTGGGGTTCAGGAATTTGGAGCTTTGTATTCAGGGGGAGCCTGTGATTCCTCCACCTCCTGTTTCTGTTCCCACTCACTCCCCCACCTACCCTTGTTCCCTGCAAGACGACGAGACCTCGGTGCTCATCTTGAAGGAATGATTTCAGTCAAGAGACGAAGTGCAGCCCTAACCGGGTTGGCTCAGTGGATAGAGCGTCGGCCTGTGGACTCAAGGGTCCCAGGTTCGATTCCGGTCAAGGGCGTGTACCTTGGCTTCGGGCACATCCCCAGTGGGGGGTGTGTAGGGGGCAGCTGATTGATGTTCCTCTCTCATCGATGTTTCTAACTCTCTGTCCCTCTCCCTTCCTCTCTGTAAAAAAATCAATAAAATATATTTTTTTAAAAAAGAGAGAAAGAGAGAGATGAAGTGCAGCAAAGCAAGCAGGAATGTCTTGGCCGCAGCAAATGCCCTTCGTGAAACAAGGAAGGGCTTAGCATAGAAGCAGCAACCCAGGTGGGGCCGCTCTGGCTCACTAAGAAGTCAGACAGAAGGGGGCCTCGTAGACGGGCTCAGGGGTGAGCCCAGGACGAGGTGCCGCTGCCCACTGCTCCCCTGGTTGCAAGTTCCATGGGGTCCCTTAGAGGTTAGGAGATGCCTGCCTGGGGGGGAGGGGGGAGGGGAGGCAGGGAAAGGCGCAGGGGTGCGCCCCAGAGGGCGAGCATGAGCTGGGCCCTCTGTCTTAAGGGCTTTTCTTTCTCTCCTGCAGGTGAGCAATCTCAGGGGAGGCCTCAGGGAAGGGTTTCGGCAGCGCATGCGTCCGTTTCCCAGGTGTGCCCTTTCAGGGTCCCGGTCTCCACTGCTTGGCTGGCCCCGGGGTCAGGGGTCCTTAGTTATTGCAGCTGGTCCTGACGGGCAGCCATGGCCTCACTTCTCTGGTGCTGCTGCTTTGCTGGGCCCGGAGCTGAAACACGGCTGAGGCCTCGGTGTGGGGGTCGAAACAGCAGGACCAGGGAGCGATGCGATAGGGGAGGAAAGTTTACCGGGGAAGGGGGGGTGAGGGGGAGAGGTAGGCACCCGGGCTTTCCGCCCTGTGACCTGCTGTACCTGGCCCATCGTCCTTGCTCTGCTCGGATTTGTCTAACTGCCAATGACATCCTCACTGGCTCTGTCCCCAGGATCAACACCCCAGGAGCTCAGGGCCCTGCCCCGGCTGCCCCCCTCCACCCCCCCACCCCCCACCCCCACGCTTCCAGGCCCTTCAGAGCAGCAGCTGCTGGTTCTCCCGTCCCTTCACAGGCCGGGTGGGGGGAGGTGTCCAGGATCGGAGTGCCAGCAGGGCAGGGGCGGGGCCCTAGGGGCTTTTAAAGGCTCCTCAGGGTGGCCCTCCTGGTTCACCACCTGCCTGCCCCCGACACCTCTGCCACCATGTGGTTCCTGGGCCTGGGCCTTGCTCTGTCCCTGGCCAGTACCGGTAAGCCAGCGGGGGAAGATGTGGGAGGGGAGCCGGCCCTGCCTCTCACGCCGCCTTCCTTCCCTCCCAATATAATATAAGTCCTTTCCCTCCCCACCCAGCTCCCCAGCCTGCACCCCTCCAGCCCACAGTCCTTCCCCCACCAGGGCCCAGGCTCTTTCCTCTCTCTCCCAGCCTCTCCTCCTTCTTACCTTTTCCACAGTCCTCACTCCCAGGAACCCCCAGAACTTTCTACTCTTCCCCCCTCAGATCCCGCCCCAGCCCCTCTATGAAGGGGGCATCCTGGGCCACCTCAGGCTCGCTCTTTGGGGGACTCCAACTCTTCCGAGGACCCCTCCCAATCCCAACAGACCCTAGGACCCTGATCACCCCCTCTCACCCCTCCAGATCTCTACGGCCCAACGATCTGGCTCCCGAGTCCCCCAATCCTACCACTCCAGCTGTCAGCTCTCACACAGGTCCTCCAGTCCCTGGCATCCGGTCCCCCAACCCTCCCAGGACCCCCCAAATGCCATGAGACACCTCCGACGGGGGTTCTGTGACCGTCTCTTTCTTCCCTCACGCTTTGCCCCGAGACCCGCATCCAGCACCCCGGCCTTGTCCTCCAGGAGAAACATCGCACCCCCAACCACCTGCTCCTTCCCTGTGGACTCTGCATCCTTCCTCCAGCTGAGCCTTCTCCCCCTGCACCCCCTGCACAGCTCTGGTTTTCTGGGACAACCCCCGCTCCCCAGGATCCCATATGCCTTCCCGGCCCAGCTGTCCTGCCCCTCCCGCCCCAAAGTACCCAACATCACGTGGGTCCTCCCTGCATTCCCACAGCTGCTTGGCCCCTGGTATGCCTCTGTCTCCATTCCTGTCCTAACATCACTCCCAAGGGACCCCCCTTTCTTTCCGGCCCGCCCCCCTCGACTGTGACCCAGCTCCATAGACTCCCCACCATCCCAGAATGACTATCACCGGCTCTCCCGCCTTTCGAGCCCAGTCTTGACCCCAGCCCTGTCCCGGGGCTCCCACCCCCCTTGGAATGCCATGGCCTGGTCACAGGACCCCAAACCCTACAGGAGCCCTCTCCCAGCCAGACCCTGTTGGCCACTCTTTGGCCTGGAACCCCGAATTCTCTCAACCAGGAGCCCCAGTCATCCCACATTCCCCAGGTGCTTCTTCTTGACCTGATTCCCCAAATCCATACCCTTTCCAGAAGCCCCGAAAACCCAACCTCCCCCCGCCAAAAAAAAGGTCCCTAATCATTTCATCAGCCTGGAAACCCCTTAACCCTCCAAATCCTCTCACCCAGCCTCTGAGCCTCTCTCTTGAGGCCTTTAACCTTGGTCTCCCCTCTCAGAACCCACAGCCTCTTGTCCTACAGGCCAAGACCCCCCCCATCACCCCACAAAGCCCACCCCGTACCTGATGGGGTCAGCTCTGCTCTCAGCAAAACATCCTCCCACCCAGGTCCAGCCACCACCCCCTTCCCCCTCCACCCCCAAAGTCTCAGAGCCTTCAGATTCCTGAGCCCTTCCCATCACTCCTGCCGATGTCCTCAGATCTGGGCCCTCTACCCCTGCGTCCCTGCGTGTCCATAGCCCGGCCCCATGTCCCAGTCCAGTCCCCTGGCCCCGCGGCCACCTCCACCCGCCCTGACTCAGCACCCCCTCTGCAGGCGCCGTGCCCCCCATCCAGTCCCGGATCGTCGGAGGCTGGGAGTGCAAGAAACCCCAGCCCTGGCAGGCGGCCCTGTACCATTACAACCGCTTCGAGTGCGGGGGCGTCCTGGTGGACCCCCAGTGGGTGCTCACCGCTGCCCACTGCATCAGCGAGTGAGTAAGGGGGAGGGATCGGGGCGGGGTTGGGGGTATCTGTGCTACCACAGGACTGGGCAGCCAGCACTGACCCTTCAGATGACCTCAGGGGACGCAGAAAGGACAGGTCGTGGTCTGGGGTCACAAGGAGAGAGACAGGGCTGGAACTGGTTGACCAGAAAGCCCTCCCACAGCCGCCTCAGTCTGCCTCTGTCCCTCCCCTAGATCTCTCTCCTCTCTCTCTCTCTCTCTCTCTCTCTCTCTGAGTTTCTGCCTCACTCCCTCTCCCCATCACTACTGTGCGCACACCCCCAGCATGGGACTGAAGGGGACTCCCAGAAAAAAAGGGAGGGTCGCCCCCAACATTTTGGGGGAGGGAGCTTCTCACACCGCCCAGCCCCGCCCTCCAGGAGCCCCACGGGGAAGGGCTGGTCTCCGGTGGGGCTGCGTGAGGGCCTTGAGGGCCACGGGGGAAGGAGAAGGAATGAGAAGGGAAGGTGCTGGGGAGGGAAGGAGGACGCTGACCTTGGGCTCAGGGCCAGGCCACCCGCCTGCTGGGGAACCAGCCCCGAAGGCCCAGCTGCTGCTGCCCTGGGCGCAGGCCCCTCCTCCCATCTGCTCCCCCAACTCCTGCCCTCCCCCCCTGGTCTCTCACTCCCTGTCACTCCCTGGCCTCCTCGGCTCCCACCTCTCTCTCTCTCTGCTTCTCCCTCTGCTCCCTCATTCTGTTCTTTCCTGCTGCTTCCTTCTGTCTGTCTCTCACCTTCTCCTGCTCTTCCTCATCCCGCCCCCTTTCTGCTCCCACCTACTCTGTTCTCCCTCCCGCTCTCCCATTCCCCCGCATCTGCTTCAAGCCCTTTTCCTCACTCCCCTTGTCCCCGGATCAGCCTTGAATCATAGTCTCCACCAGTTTGGAATCTTTCATGCTCTCTCCCTTTTCCTCCTTCTCTCTCTCTCTCTCTCTCTCTCTCTCTCTCTCTCTTGACCCAGCCCCATGCTGCCCTGCCCCTTCCCCCCCCCCTTCTCTCCCCCTCCTCCCTCCTCATGCCCTGCGTTCCCCGTCTCCCCCCAGCAATTACCAGCTCTGGCTGGGTCGCCACAACCTGTTTGAAGAGGAAGACGGGGCGCAGTACGTCCAGGTCAGTAAGAGCTTCCCGCACCCTCAGTTCAACCTGAGCCTCCTGAAGAACCACACCACCCACCCCGGGGAGGACTACAGCTACGACCTCATGCTGCTCCGCCTGGCCGAGCCCGTGCAGCTCACGGACTCCGTGAAGACCCTGGCCCTGCCCACCCAAGCCCCCAAGCTGGGGAGCACCTGCTACGCCTCTGGCTGGGGCAGCACCAACCCATACCCATGTAGGTCAGCCTGGAACCCAGGCACCGGGGGTCGGGAGGGGGTGGGGGACTGGGGACCTGGACTCCGGGGTCTGAGGGAGGAGGGCCGAGGAGCCAGGAGGGGCCGGCCACAGCCATGCTTCCCCCTGGCCCGCAGTCCAGTACCCAGATGAGCTGCAGTGCGTGGACCTCACACTCCTGCCCAACAAGGTGTGTGCCAACGCCCACCCCGAGAAGGTGACGGACGTCATGATGTGTGTTGGACACCTGGAGGGTGGCAAGGACACCTGTGCGGTGAGCTGACCTGCTCCCCCCTGGGCCTCAGCATGCTGGGGGGCAGGGGGGGGGGGGCAAGGGGCAGGGGACTCAGGTTCTGGCCTGGGGCTGAGAGCTATCCAGGCATCTGTCTCCAAGGCTGCCCAGATACTGCCCCCCTCCCCAGTGCTCCAGCTCCCTCCTCTGCCCCTTTCCTCCTCACACCCCCAATCAGGTGGCCCATGCGTCGTCCTCCTCCCTCTAACGCGCCCGGGGCAGAGAGAGCTAGCTGGGAGAGGTGACATCTGAGATGAGCCCTGAGGTGGGAGGGTCCTGTGGATGGATGCCCCCTCCTCCTCCCCCCTGCAGGGACTGTCCTCCAGGGCCCTGTGTGCCCACCCCCATTGGCTAGAACTCCACGCGCTGTCCCCCTATTGGAACCCTGCCACCTCCTTCTGGGAGTGGACCCCGGAGACAAGTGTGTCCCTCCCCACAGCTGGACTCGGGTCTGCAGGCAGAGCCCCCAGCCTCACTGACCTCACTCTCTCCCCCTCCTGTAGGGTGACTCCGGGGGCCCGCTGATCTGCAACGGGGTCCTTCAAGGAATCACATCCTGGGGCCAAACCCCCTGCGCCCGACCCAACACGCCCGGGGTCTTCACCAGAATTCTGCCCCTCGTGGGTTGGATCAAGAAGACCATGGCAGCCAATGCCTGAATGCCTCTGCCCTATCCCTGACCCCCGCACCGTCCCTCCCCCCCAATTAAAACCAAATATGCATCCAATTTGCATGGAGTTCTGGTGTCATCTGGCCTCCCAGACACCCCTTCCCCCACACACACCCCCTCCCGCCCCATCTCCAGGGCCAGGGCCGGAGTCTCCGGCCCTCCCTGTGTTGGGGCGGGAGGCATGCAGCAATGGACAGGGGAAAGGACGGGGCAGAGGCAGGTGTAGACAAACAGGCAGAGAAGGAGGCCGGGACTCCAGGCCGGTTCTCGCACACGCCGGCCCGACCCTGCCCCGAGGGAGAGGGCGCAATGGAGGATCGGACTCTGAGAGCGGGGTGGTGCCCACATTTTATTGTGGCGCAGAAGCCAGGAAGGTGGGCAAGGGACGCTGTGGCAAGCCATGCCTTCCTGGGGAGGGGCGACAGCAAAAGCTGGGTGGGTGTTGTGTCCGCCCAGGGGCAAGATGAGGCATCCAGGGGCGGGGCTGGCCCTCGGAGAGGGAGGAGTTCCGAGGATGAAGGGTGGCTTTGGGGTGTGGCCTATCTCAATGGGGGCGGGGCCTAGCTAGGATGGGGGCGTGGCCTATCTGGGATTGAAGCGGGCCTAGCTAGGATAGGGCGTGGCCTGGCTAGGATTGGGGGGGGCCTAGGTAGGATCTGGGCGTGGCCTATCTGGGATTGGGGCGGGGCCACGCTAGGATGGGAACAGATCCACACCCACTGGCCCCTTGGCGGGAGCTGCGTGCAGAGCGGAAGGGGGCGGTGTCTGACTTCTGGGATGGGGACCAGGGGAGGACTCTGGACGGGAACAGAGCAGCAAAGGGTGGGCCCAAGCTGGAGGGTCCCGGCGTTGTCAGCAGCCCTCGGAGGGCGAGGCATGTTCTTAGGGAGGCGGGCCTCAGTGGAGGTCTGATCCCCGCCCCCGGGCCCAGGTACCCGTCCGTGTCCTGAGCAACCATGGCTTAGGGAGGCTTGGCGGGGATCCCCTGGCCTGGGAGCGAACTGGACTTGCGGTCTGAGCCTGACTGTCTGGACATGTGCCTCATAGGACTGAGCCGCGAGGCCCACCGCCAGTAGCTCACCCGCCGATCCCAGGTGAACGAGGCCTGGCTCCACATGCCCGCGTAGTTTAAGTAGCTCAGGACTCCTGGGCAGGAGGAGCTGGGTGGGCGGCTGGAAGCCCAGTTCCGCAGAGGCCCCGCCCCCTTTCCCTAGGCCCCGCCTCCTTGGGTTCACCACCATCTGGGCCCCAGGCCCAGCACAGGTTTCTCCCCGAGGCCCCGCCCCTTCTCCCCGAGGCCCCGCCCCTTCTTCCCGAGGCGCCGGCCCGCTCTCACCTGTCCACAGTATCAAGGCGCCGCTGCCCCAGCATAGGTAGGAGGTAAACAGGTACGAAATACGAGGCTTTGGTCTCAGGGACTGGCAGTTGGCTACAAAGAGCGTCATGCTGAGGATAACCAGGAACCCTGCGCTTGGGTGGGGCCAGAGATGGACACTAGGCTAAGCAGGTAGCCCGGAACCTCCAGACACACGGACACACACAGACGCTCTCGACAGTCAGAGACGCCCCCCACACTACTCACCCCAACTGAGAAAGACAGAGGAAGGAGAACTGTGAGAGAAAGTGTCAAAGACGGACCCAGGTGACCCTGGGACAGAAAAGTCTGAGATCCGCCTCCCAGGGCACAGATGCTGGGGTTGGGAGGGCACCCCATCCCCCAGGCCCACACTTACCAATGCTGAAGCTGAGTAAACTGAAGATAAGGTCGGTCTTGTTCAGGCGGCGGAAGACCGGCCAGAAGGAGAGGACCATGGTGGTGACAAGGATGAGGCAAATGGCCAAGGCCAGCATCATGAAGCCCATGCTCATGTGGATGAGAACTGGGGGGAATGGGGGAAGTGGGGGGAGGGAGGATTGTCCCAGAGTCACCCCCAGATGCTCTCCAAGGTCAACCTCTAAGCTCATGTCAATGACACCCCTGAGCAGTACCCCCAAAGGCCCCCCAGAGTTTGACTACAGACGTCCTCAAAGTCACTCCCATTCCCATCACCAAAGTCACCTCCTAGAAACCCCAAAATATGACTCTGACAAAATCACCCCCCGGGGAACCTGTAAACTGCAAGTCATCCCCACTCACACCCTCAGAGTTCTCCCAAATCAACCCCCATTCGCCCTAAACATAAGCCCCAGACACCCTCCTAATCAACTACGCATACCAGGGTCACCCCACAGATGACCCCTGAGTCACCCCCACTCACATTCTTGAGGTCACGCCACAGAATCATCTCAATCATTTCTAGAGTCACCCCCACAGTTACTCCCAAAGTCGCCCCACTCACACTCCCAAAAGATGTCCCACAGCAACTCACAGTATCCTCACTATCACTCCCAGACATGCCCAAACACACGTGCATAGTTATCCAAGACACTGAAGTCTCTTCAGTGATGAAGAGGGGTTCCGGGGTGTGGAAGCCAGGAAGGTGGGTGTCTCTCTACTCCTCTCCCCTCACACTCCTAGGTCCCCTAGTGACCCCTTTCACACCCCAAAACCTCTTCCAATGTCACCTCCATTCACACCATAGAACGCCCCCCAACACAGACATTCTCCACATCCCCCATACATCTCCCAGAGCACACACACAGATGTACACATGCAAAAAAACAACAAACAAAAACAAAAAAACTTACAAATATCTAAAATCAGGGTACCTAAAAGATGTCATTGCATTCACTATCCTATATAATAAAAGGGTAATATGCAAATTGACCCTAATGGTGGAACAACTGGCCACTATGATGCGCACTGACCACCAGAGAGCAGATGCTCAATGCAGGAGCTGCCCCCTGCTGGTCAGTACGCTCACACAGGGGAAGCTCCACTCAGCCACAAGCTGGGCTGATGGCTGCAAGCGCAGCAGGGATGGCGGGAGCCTCTCCCACCTCTTCAGCAGTGCTAAGGATGTCTGAATGCGGCTTAGGTCTGCTCCCTGAGGGGCCTAAGCTGCAGTCGGACATCCCCTGAGGGCTCCTGGGCTGCCAGAGGGATGTCTGACTACCAGCTTAGGCCCAATCCCCCACAGAGCAGGCCTAAGCCAGAGGTGGACATCCCCCAAGGGCTCCCAAACTGCGAGAGGGTGCAGGCCAGGCTGAGGGACCCCCAACCCCTGAGTGCACAACACTCAGGACATCCGGGCCTCTAGTAGAACTGATATTTATCCAGTTTACACTGCAGTGTGACAAGACTTGCAGCTCCTTCGAAGAACAAGCCCCTTCCTACTTTGCCTGCTTTTGAACAGTTTCAGCCAAATGAGCTAAGACTTCATCTGCTATGCTTCTGGCAAACTGCACACCTCTAACACCTAACCAGCAAGCAAAAGGTTCATCCTATATACACAATAGCAATGGCGCTCTCTGGTGATTACAAAACCCTGATGGAAGGCTTCTCCAGGCACATCTTTATGCTCTGGGGCCACAGAGATACACATGTGACTCTGGTTGAGCCAATCACGGTGTCCCATGCCCCAGACCATGGTGATGGGCCATAAGGTGGGCACATGATCAAAGCCTTCAGTTAGACTTTTTCTAACTGAAGTTTTTGGGACAGCTGTCCCTCCTCTGGTCCATAAGACCAGGAGCCTGGAGCTGCCTGAGCCTTGCTCCCAGCCTCCTGGGGGCTGGGAGACCTGAGGGAGTAAAACTAAAAAAGGAAAGCAGACAAGAGAAGGAGAGTTGAGGCGACACTGGCTGTTGGGCTGTTGTCATCCCAGAGACCAGCCCATCCTGTGGCTTGGTCAGAAAAGAGTGGATGTTTACAGGCTTACCTCCACACCATGCATGTCACCCTCCTACCTGTTCCCCACTCTCAGCCCCAGTTATAAGCCAATCAGTGCATTGCATTGCTCTGGCCACCAGGCTTGGTTGGCGGTACTGATGTGACCCAGCCAGGGCTTTGACGGGAACGTTCGGGGAGGGGGGGCAGCATGCAGAAGGCAACCAATCAATGATTCTCTCTCATCATTGATGTTTCTATCTCTCTCCCTATCCTCTCTTATACATATAATATATAATTATATTATATATATAATTTTTAAAAGGGCATGGCTCCTCCTCTGCCCAGGCCCTGGTCCGGGCGCATGCAGGAGGCAACCAATCAATGTGTTTCTCTCACATTGATATTTTTCTGTCTTTCCCTCTCTCTTCCACTCTCTCTACAAATCAATGGAAAAGTATCTTCAGGTGAGGATTTAAAATAATAATAATTTTTAAAATAAAATAAAGGTAGTTACCCTGGCCAGTGTGGCTCAGTCGGTTGGGCGTTGTCCTGTGCACTGAAAGAAAGGTCATGGTTCTATTCTAGGTCAGAGCACATGCCCAGGTTTCAGGCTCAATTCCCAGTAGGGGGCGTGCAGGAGGCAGTCGATCAATATTTTGCTCTCACAAATAAGTTTCTCTCTCTCTCAAAATCAATAAAAATATATTTTAAAAATACAAATAATAAAATGATGGTAGGTGCAGCAGCTGGTAAAAGAAAAGTGTTTTTATAAAGCTTATTAGAGGCCCGATGCACGAAATTCGTGCAAGAGTAGGCCTTCCTTCCCCTGGCTGCCAGCACCAGCTTCCTTCTGGCACCAGGGACCCAGGCTTCCCTTGCAGCCCTGGCTTCTTCATCTGGAAGGTCATCCGGTAGGACATCCGGTAGGACATCCGGGAGGACATCTGGTCTAATTAGCATATTCTGCTTTTATTATTATAGACTAGAGGCCCAGTGCATGAAAATTCATGCACTGGAGGGGAGGTCCCTCAGCCTGGTCTGCTCACAGTCCAGGTGCCCTCAGGGGCATGAGGCAACCCGGCCACCATGGGAAGGTGACGCCCCCATCACACCTCTGCTGCTGCCACTGCCGGCAGCGCAAGCCTCGGCCGGCCCTGGTTACCTGAGCCTTGGGTGACCCTGGGCAGCTGGGCAGCCAACATCTGAGGCTTGCCTGCACCTTGGGCCATCCCTGGGCAGCTGGGGGCCTGAGGGCGGATCCGGCCTCACTGCGAGCCTGCCACCCCCGGTGGGTTTGAAAGGACTGGGGCCTCCGGGGAGGCTGAGGGAACTAGGCGTCGCCATCTTGTGACTATGGGCGCCGCCATCTTTGTAACGGTGGGACAGTGAATTTGCATATTCCGTCTTTATTAGATAGGATAGCTAAACTTGGTGTAGCACTTAATATGTGCCAGGCAGTGTTCTCATTCCTTTATGTGTTTTAGCTCACACATTAACAGCTCACAAATTGGTACTGCTATTACTGCCATTTTTAGAAATGTGGAAACTGAGGCACAGAGAGGTGAAAAAATGTATCCAAGATCACCCAGCTACCAAGTGGTTGGACTAGGATTCGAACTAGGCACTCTGGCGCCAGGCTCCGGGCTGTCTCCTGTTGCAATGCTCAAAAGCAATGAAGAGCCCTAGCCAGCTTGGCTCAGTGGATAGAGCCTGCAGACTGAAGGGTCCCAGGTTTGATTCCAGTCAAGGGCACATGCCTGGGCTGTGAGCTCGATCCCCAGTGGGGGGCGTGCAGGAGGCAGTCGATCAAGGATTCTCTCTCATCATTGATGTTTCTCTCCCTTCCTCTCCCTCTCTGAAATCAGTAATAATGTATTTTAAAATATATTTTTGAAAAAGCAATGAAGAGACCAACAAGGAGGCAAAATGTTCCTGCTGAAACCTCTTGTCATCTTTTTTGGAAAAACAAAATGTTAAGTGAGAGAGAGAGAGAAAGTGATGGTGTTTTCAGCCACCTAGTGATGAGGCAGGCGGGCTTTCGGTCAAGTATAGTGCTCACTTTCCAAAGCATATGTCAGTCCCATTTCCTTATGAGCCAGAAAGAACTCCAGGAGCCCTGGCCGGTGTGGCTCGGTTGGCTGAGCGTTGTCCCAGGCACCAAAAGGTCACAGGTTGCACCAAAAGGTCACAGGTTGCACCAAAAGGTCACAGGTTGGAGTCCCGATCAGGGCACATGACCAGGTTGCTGGTTTGCTCTCCAGTGAGGGCCGTGCAGGGGGCAGCCAATTGGTGGTTCTCTCTCATCGATGTTTCTCTCTCTCTCTCTCTCTCTCAAATCAATTTAAAAAAAAAAACATATTTAAGCCTAACGGGTTTTGCTCAGTGGTTAGAGCATCAGCCTGCAGACTGAAAGGTCCCAGGTTCGATTCCAGTCAAGGGCATGTGCCTTGGTTGCAGTCACATCCCCAAGACGGGGGCGTGCAGGAGGCAGCTGATCGATGTGTCTCTCTCATCGATGTTTCTAACTCTCTATCCCTCTCCCTTCCTCTCTGTAAAAAATCAATAAAATATATATTTAAAAAACATATTTTAAAAGAAAAAATACTTTTTAAAAAAATATCAGTTCTCTTCTCACTTCAGTGGTGATTTTGTTTTCTTTCTTCGGTGGTGTTTTTTAAAAAAAAAAAAAAAAAAGAAAAAAGAAAGAAAGAAAGAAAGAAAGAAAGAAAGAAAAGTACCCCAGAAGACCCCCTCACAAGGCCTTCAGAGAATCTCCAGAAACCCTTTCTCAAAGGCTCTGAAAAGATTTCCCCCCAAGGACACCTAAAGATCCCTGCCCCTGATCAGCTCCAAGGATCCCCCTGCACAGTGCCCCAGAGCCCGTCCATGGCCCCACTGACCAGTGACTTGGCCCACGTCGGAGCATTTGTACTTCTTGCAGTTGATCCAGAAGCCCATGTAGCCAGAGTAGGAGCCCTCCAGGTAGACCATCCGCCCGTCCACCGCGCTGAGCACCATCAGGGTCGTGAGGGTGCTGAAGACCAGGGCCCAGCCCCGCAGGATGTACTTTCTGTCCTCCTCCCAGGAGTAGTTTGGGTCCGCTGGGAAAGAATCGAGGACTGGGGGGTCAGGATGGGCCTGCATCCTCCTGCGGTCCGTCCCTGAGCACAGCCGTGTCTCCGTCCCCACCCGAGCCTCCCCTTCCACCCCGTTCTCAATCCCCTTCCACCCCAACCCCGATGCCAACCTCATCCCCATCTCCGTTCCTGTCTCATCCCCCGTTTTAACTTTGTCTCCAGCACCATTCACAGCCCCACGCCACCCACAATAGTCTCGGTCCTCAACCCCAAACACATCCCCCTGCCCATCTCCAACCCTCATGCCCAACTCATCCCCCATCCTCAACCCTATTCCAAGCTCAAGCCCATCCTCCTGTCCCCATTCCCCAAGCCCTCGCTAGAACCAGCCCCTCTCTGGACCTCATCCCCTTATCTCCTTCGACGTCACAAATCCCAACCCAGGACGCGCACAACAACGACACAGATTCCAGAGGGTGCTCACGAGGCCATGACCCATGGTGTCAAAAGAGTAAATGCAGGGGATACACCCAATATTCACCAAGCCCCTGTGGTCCCGCCAACCTTCCCAGCTGGCAAGGGCCCCCCGGGTCCCACTGTTCACTAACTAGACTTCACAGGGTCTTTCCCACCTGGTTACCTCCACGCAGTCCCGCCTACTCCTCCAACCTGGGCACTCCGCTTCCACCTTTGCCCAGACTGCCTTAATCACCCTCACCGCTAATGTCACTTCTTCCGCATCTCCTTTCTGACACCCCCACCCCCGGCAACTGACCCCCACAGCCTCAGTTCTTAGTCAGGTTGCTCATTAAATGCTCCTAGAGTACAATGTGCAATTCCTCACGGACTTGTCAGTCGTTATTCCACTGACTTTTTTTTTTTTTTTTTAAATCTTGACCCAGGGATAGTTTTCTATTGATTTTTTAGGGAGAGTGGGAGAGAGAGGGAAAGAGAGAGAGAAATATCGATGTGAGAGAAGCACGTCGATTGGTTGCCTTCTTCAGGAGCCCAGACCAGGGCCCAGGTGGGGGAGGAGCCTGCAACCAAGGTACCTGCCCTTGACTGGAATCGAACCCGGGATCCTTCAGTCTGCAGGCCAACGTTCTATCCACTGAGCCAAATCAGCTAAGGCTTCACTGATTTTTTTTTTCCTTAACCAGTTTTCCAGGACAGACCCCCATTAGGATAGAGGACAAATCTGCACCCCTATCGCCTGCTGCACCCCTATTGCCTGGCACACAGCCTTTGCTATCCTATATAATAAAACCCTAAAATGCCAACAGCAGAATGACCGGTCACTATGACGTACACTGACCACCAGGAGGCAGAAGCTCAATGCAGGAGCTGCCCCCTGGTGGTCATTGCGGAGCTCCCACAGGGGAAGCACAGCAGGAGCCTCTCCCACCTCCACTGCAGGCAGGCGGTAAGGAGCAAAGGGTCCTGGACGGCGAGAACCCCAGACTGCAAGAGGGATGTCTGACCGCTGGCTTAGGCCCAATCCCAAGCCAGGAGGTGGACATCCCCCAAAGGCTCCCAGACTGCAAGAGAGTGCAGGCTGGGCTGAGGGACAACCCCCCTCCAGTGCACAAATTTGTGCACTGAGCCTCTAGTAATAAATAAAGGGGTGAAATGGATTCAGAGAGGGCCATGGAAGGGGTGTGGAGTGAGGCAGGTAGGAAGAGGGAATTATAACTTCAGGACCTCCGGAAACTGTAAGAACTAATCTCAGAGACACTGGTGACTCAACCCTACCTAGTCCTGACCCCGCTCTGGCCCCTCTCTAACCCTGTCTCCACTCTGAGATTGCTCCCTACCCCCCAATCCACCCCTTGCCCTGTCCTGACACCTCTCTGACCCAGCTATGACCTCTTCTTGTCCCAATCCCGACCCTGCCCAGACCCCACACTGAATGCACCCAGACCCAGTCCCAACCCCCATGTCACTCACACAGGTCCACTGTGCAGGATGCGTCCATGGCCAACGTCCCAACTTCCTGGAACCTCTCCAACTGTCACGGAATCTCCCCGCAGCCCGAACTTCAGGCCAGCCTGGAGCCCTGAGGCCTGCCTGAGGACAGTAGGAGAGACCAAGAAACACTGAAGAAAGGACAAAGAGGTCAAAAGGCCAAGGGACAGAGCCTGAACCCCGGAGAGAGACCAGCAGACTTCCAGTGGCCACTGAGGTGCCGGGAAAGAAGGTCTGAGGCAGTTGGCAGACTGTTGAGTGCACCCAGGGACTGGCTTGGCCCTCTACCGCCACATGTCCCGCAAGTCCCCATCTGGCCAACAGAGCAACCAGGCAGATGTCCTTACAGAAGATCCCGAAAGTGACACCCAAGATGAGACTTCAGACCCTTTGCCCAACACCTCCAGGCTAAGTGCCCAGGACCCTCCACCCATTCTCCACTCTAGCCGTGTCAGCACCCAAGAACCGCCACCCGTGACCCACTCTCGCCGGGTCAGCATCCAAGAGCCGCCACCCGTGACCCACTCTCGCCGGGTCAGCATCCAAGAGCCGCCACCCATTCTCCACACTCGCCGGGTCAGCATCCAAGAACACCCACCCACTGTCCACACTCGCCGGGTCAGCATCCAAGAACCACCACCCATTCTCCACACGCGCCGGGTCAGCATCCAAGAACATCCACCCACGGTCCACACTCGCCGGGTTAGCATCCAGGAACACCCATCTGTCATCCAAGAGACACTGCCCGTCACCCACACTCGCCGGGTCAGCATCCAAGAACCTTCACCCATCTTGCGCACCCGCCGGGCCAGCGTCCAAGAACCTCCGTCCATCTTGCGCACTCGCCGGGCCAGCATCCAAGAGCCTTCGTCCATCTTGCGCACTCGCCAGGCCAGCGTCCAAGAGCCATCGCCCATTGACGAGAGTCTCCGGGGCAGTATCAGAGAGGCACCATCCCTGGGTAACATTAGCCAAAAGAGTATCCAAGAGACACCATCCACTGTTAACATTAGCCAAACGAGTATCCAAGAGACACCCTCCGTGAGCAGCGTTCACCAAGCCGGCCCCCAAGACACAGCGCCAGTGACCCCTCTCAACACCCTGACCGTTCCGCCAAGTGGCCAAACGAGTTTCCAAATTCGTAGGTTCAGTATCCCCAGGCCTTCGCCGATGCCCCACATCCCCCTGGCCTGCGTAGAATCAGTTGCCTACACCAATCAAACCAGTTTGGGAGACAACTTGACAAGCACCCAGAGTCAAAGTTTAAGGGTTCCAGGCGTCAAGTTCCCAAACCGGGCCAGTGTGGACGTCCCCCCTTCAATTACCGAGAGCCCTGAGGCCAGCATGGAAAGCATGGAACAAATTCTCTGGACCTCCCAGGAGGACTTCAAAGAATCTTTGTACAACCTCCAATTAAGCAAAAATACTCCAGATAGCGATGTCCAAAGCATCCCGCTACACAGCTCCACGGACACCAGCTCTTCCAGGTGAGAGGCAGAGGTCCAGGCAAAAAGGCCAGGTTCTGGGTGAGAATTGGGGGGGTAGGGGATGGGGGTGGAGGGAGACAGCAGTCAAAGGACAGGGACCAGAACATGCCTGGCATAGCAGAGATTAGAGGTTGGACCTAGGTGTGGCAGGTCTTGGAAGCTGGTCCTGCAGGCTGGCCATGGGTAGGACATAACACAGAATCTGGAGAGGGGATTTTAGGATGGCAGGGCCTGGAAGCTAGATCTGGAGGCAAGGGGACCTGGAGGGCAGGACCTGGGGGAGACAGGGTATAGAGGATGGACATAGAGAAGATAAGAGTCTGAAGGGTAGACTGGGTGGGACCGGGTCTGGCAGCCGGACCTGGGATGGTTGGGCTGGGGAGCTGGACGCGGCGCTGACACTGGCGGTGGGCTCTCTGCAGCAGGTTTTCGGTCAGGGCTAAACGCAGACATTCACAGCTGCCCGTGGGCACGCGGCTGCTGCACCAGGCCAAGAAGCTCAGCCGCCAGCTGAGCCTGGTGCTGAGCCTGGTGGGCGTGGTGATCATCGGTCTCATCACTCTGGGCCAGCCCTGGGTCCACTTCCAGGTGCCACTGACACTCCCTGGGGGTCCTGCTGACCCCCCGCCCCAAACCATCCCCATCAACACCATCTTCGTTGTGCGGTGTTCTGACGTCTCCTGCCTGCATGAGCAAGACCACAATGCTTGTAAGGCCTGCCCTAGACTCCCCATTCCCACGGTGCGTTTCTCCTCTGTCCTAAGGACCCCTTTCTGCCTTCCCTGGGATGACCCCACTGCCCCGGGTGTGTCCCCTCTTCTCTGCAACGGTCCTCACTACCTCCGGACCAACCTCCCTTCCCCAGGGTGGGGCTCCCTGCTGCAAGACCACCCTCGCTGCCGAGTGTTCGTCCTCACCTACATGACCCTGATCCTGGTGTTCCTGGTTCTCTTCCTTCCCTAGACTTGCTGGACTCTGCCTGGGCCTTCTTCTTCATTTCCGCCTTCACCAGCTTCTGCCTCTGCCTCATACTCATAGACATCACCTTCTTCACCAAGTCCAACGTGCCCGTGCTGGACTTCTCCAACATCGTCCTCAGCAACCTGGCAGGCATGGCGCTGAGATCCTTCCTTTAGGGACACCAAGGCGAGGCGAACCTTGCCGGGTGCCTACCATGACACCCAACCCGCTCCCTCCAAACTCCAACCGCATCCCCTTCCCATCCTCACCTTCTGTCCCAATTCAAATCCTATCTCTTAACCCAGTGGTCGGCAAACTGCGGCTCGCGAGCCACATGCGGCTCTTTGGCCCCTTGAGTGTGGCTCTTCCACAAAATACCATGTGCGGGCACGCATGTAGTGTGCGATTGAAACTTTGTGGCCCGTGCGCAGAAGTCGGTATTTTGTAGAAGGGCCACACTCAAGGGGCCAAAGAGCCGCATGTGGCTCGCGAGCCGCAGTTTGCCGACCACTGTCTTAACCCATCCCAATAATATATATATATATATATATATATATATATATATATATATATATAAAAAATATATAAATTTTCAACCTAACCCCATCTCCAGCCCCAATACCAGCCCCCACTTCACTTCCCAGCTCCATCACCAACACATCTCAAACGCATCCCCCGCCCCTTCCACGCTGTCCAGGCCCATCCCCACCCCCATGCCAATTCAATCTTCTCTCCAGAATCCAAGCCATCCCCCACCCCTTTACCAACGTCAGCACCCAATTGCAACCCCATCGCCCTATCGCCTGTGAACCTCACTCTGAAACTCAACCTAACTCATTCCCAGCTCCATCCTCTTATCCATCTCCAGTCCATCCTTTCCCCCAACCACGACCCAACACCAACCTCCACCTCCACCTCCACCTCCACCTCCACCTCCTCCATCCTTATCTCTCAAACTTCAACCTCTACCAAGATCCCATCTCTATTTCCAGTTCCAGCCCCACCCCCAACCCCTGCCTCCTCGCCACCACCAGTGATTTTGTTCAAGCTACTTCATCTTTCTGAGCCAACTTCCTACCACGTGGAGATGTCGTGAGGACTGAACTGGGAAATGTCATCACCCGGTGTAGATATTGTACATGTCCTTATCTCCATACTCCCACCCAAGTAACTCAACATTTATATTCCGATGAGAATAGTTTAGTTCCATTTGGATGTCAAATCACACTTTTTAGAAAAAGGGGCCGTGGGGAGCACTTTAATTTGGAAATGAAGGATATTGTCTTCTCTTGGGGTAATTGACCACAACTTTCAGTTGCATCAAGAGAGCATTTTTGGAGAGTGACGGTGACATTTCCGTGTTAGCAAATGTTATGTGTCCAGTCTGTCTGTTAGCTCTCCTTGATTGTTTAACTCTAAGGGATATGGGGTGGAAAACGCCTCACTTTTATGTCCTCTAAACTAGGACGTTTTCCTATAAGAAAATAATTTCTGCCCAGTCTCCCTTTTAATCAAAGGGAAAACACTTCCTATACTATGAACATAAAGAAAAAATTACCCTACCCAGGCCCTAGCTGGGTAGCTCAGTTGGTTAGAGCTTCGTCCCGATACACCAAGGTTGTGAGTTTTATCCTCAATCAGTGCACATACATGAATCAACCAATGAATGTATAAATAAGAGGAACAACAAATCGATGTTTCTCTCTCTCAAAAATGTATAAATAAAAATTACCCAGTACTCCATTCACTACCTGAAAAAACAAAAACTTTTCCTTTTCACAAATCATCTTTAATTCATGTCATTCAAAAATACAGCTAAAATATCCAGAATGACAGAGTTCCTTATCCACTACCTCAGAAACCCCAAAGTAAAGACCCAGTACAGTGATGGTAATCTGGCTTGATTCTTGAGGGCTCCCTGTGTGCCAGGAAATGGGCCAACCTCAATAACTCTTCGCCTGACAACCAAGGAGATGGTGTCTGCAATTATGCCCACTTTACAGATGGGGGAAATGAGGCTCAGAGAGATGGAGTGTGTCCCGACGGTGGGAGGCCGAGGCCAGACAAGCGTTCCAGTCAGTTGGCCCCAAAGCCTGTGGTTTTAGACACCCCCGTGGCCCACAGAAAGACCAAGACTTGCACTTCCAATGCCCTCTGCTATGACATTGTCAGGAGCCTCTTATCCTGCTTGTGAGCAGAGAGACAGGGGGGCAAAGGAATTGGGGAAATAATGGGCAAGAGTCACGCAGTTACACAGCCAGGGCCACGGGTCTTCACACACCTGCTGTCCAGCCTCCTAACACCTGTACTCCTGCAGGGACCAGCATGGTATTGGGTATCCTGTTCTACCTGCTGCAGGCCCATGAGTTCCTGCAGGAAGGCATGACGTACAGTCTGGGGCGTAGCTTCTACCTGGCGTGGACTGGCATCTTCTGCTTCCTGGCGATTGGTCTGAGCTGGGATGGGGTTGGGTTTGGACAGGGTTCAGTGATACCGATGGGGGACAGCCCGGGAAAGAGTTGGGGATGAGGATGGTGTTGGGTTTGGGTTAGGAAATGGATTATTGGGGGCAGGGTAGGGGATGGGTTAGGTTTGGGTTTGAAGGTGGAGGGTTGAGGAAAATGCAGGTGAAGGGGTTGGGGACAGGGTAGGGGATGAGATGGAACTGGGGACGGGGTTGAATTTGGAAATGGACTCGGACAGTGCAGGGAATGGGGTTGAGGTTGGGTGTAGGGATGTATATGGGGACAGGGTAGGGGATGAGATGGAACTGGGGACGGGATTGAATATGGAAATGGATTCGGACAGTGCAGGGAATGGGGTTGAGGTTGGGTGTAAGGATGTGTATGGGGACAGGGTAGGGGGTATCATTGGGCATGGGGAGAGGACTGGGGTCCAGGTGGGGCTGGTGAACTCTACACCTCACCCCCTCTGCTTTCTTCCTCCCTCAGGTTTCATTTCCTACATGAACTACGTGAATTTCTGGTTCATCCTGGCACCCCAGGCCATCTGGACTTAGGACATGGGAATGGCCCTCCTTCCTTCCTGCTCCCACAGCTCCCTGCCACGGGGCTGACGACCCTGCTCTCCGGCCCTCACAACCACCACGACTCTTGTCCCTTTTCAGTCCCCTCTGAGTCTCCCCCACTCAAATTACTAATCAGTATTTTTAAATCTGTGCTTTTGCCCAGAATATGCTTTTGGCTTAGTACCTTGTCAGTGTTCTGTGGAACTGTCATCCCTCCTGAGGTCGTCCCTTGGGCCCTGTGGGGTAGAAGGATGGGACTTAAGGGTAGAAGTGAGGGGAGGGAATCATGACAAAGACACTTGAGGCACAAGGCCAACCAAGAATTAGGCCAACAAGGATATTTTTTCCATTACTTTTCAGAGAGAGAAAGTGGAAGGGAGGTGAAGGAGAGAGAGAGAGAGAAAGAGAGAGGGGGGGGGGGGATTTGTTGTTCCACTTATTTTTTTTTTAAATATATTTTATTTATTTTTTACAGAGAGGAAGGGAGAGAGATAGAGAGTTAGAAACGTCGATGAGAGAGAAACATCGATCAGCTGCCTCCTGCACATCTCCTACTGGGGATGTGCCCGCAACCCAGGTACATGCCCTTGACCGGAATCGAACCTGGGACCCTTCAGTCCACAAGCCAATGCTCTATCCACTGAGCCAAACCGGTTTTGGCTTGTTCCACTTATTTATGCATTCATTGGTTGCTGCTTGTATGTGCCCTGACCAGGGATTGAACCTGCAACCTTTCGGTGTACAGGACAATGCTCCAATCAACTGAGCTACCCGGCCAGCTGTTTTTGTTTTTAACGCAGGCTGATTTGTAACTATGTGCCAGACACCGGATCTATAGCGGGGATCACATTGGACACAAATCCTTGTCTTTACGGAACTGACATTTCATCTGGGAGGCAAAATAATAGGACCACTAACGAAGAGTTGGGTGTGTTAGGGGGTCCGTGCTATGAAGAGAAACAAAGGAGTGCAAGGGAGACCGGTCTGTTCTGTAAAGAGAAGGGGGGTTGGGGGGGCCTCTCTGCTAAAGTGACACCTGAGCGGAATCATGGCTCAAGAGAGGAAGAGAGCAAATGGAGTCAGATTGCGGGAAAGAGTTCCAGGCAGAGGGAACAGCAAATGCAAAGGTCCTGGGGCGCAACTGTGTGCTTGGCAGGTCCTAAGAAGGCCCGGGAATCAGCGTGCCCGTGGGGCCCCGGCAAGGGAGGGGAGGGAGGAGGATTAGGGGACCGCGGCACCTCACTCCCAGCCTCGGGGGCACGCCACTCCCAGCCTCGGGGCCACAGCGAAGCCCTGGCTTCACTCGGGGGTGGCGTGTGGTCCGGGTAGGAAACGCCTCGTTTTTCCTAAGAGAGGAGTTCGCATCTCTTCCATTCATTTCGGACTACAGACTTCACGAGAGGAATCTCCCAGCCAGAAGGAAGGAAAAAACCCCAGAAAACGAGGGGAACCAGCTAAACAACGTGTGTTCTGCTCACGTGTGTGTGTGTGCGCGCGCGCACGTATGTGTATGTGTGTGCATGTGTGGTGTGTGTGCCTATGCGCGCGCTCACGTGTGTGTATGTGTATGCATGTGTGGTGTGTGTGCGTGCGTGTGTGTGTGTGTGTGTGTGTGTGTCATAAAGAGTCCGCACCAAACTGTTGACCACGGCGACCTCCGGTGTGTGGGTTGACATAGAAAAGTTTCCTTTTTCATCTTTGAAAAAAAAAAACATACCTGGGTTGCGGGCACATCCGCAGTAGGGGGTGTGCAGGAGGCAGCTGATTGATGTTTCTCTCTCATCCATGTTTCTAACTCTCTATTCCTCTCCCTTCCTCTCTGTAAAAAATCAATAAAATATAAGAAGAAAAAAAAACCGTTTTACCATCACGTCTGTTGAAACACACGCCTTAGGTCGCCAACTTACCATGAAACCCAGCCCCCAGGTCTTTGGCGATCTAAAAGCCGGGGAACGAGCACCAAACGCGGTCCTGCCTCAGCTCGAGTCCTGTCCCCGTCCTCCTCCCTCGGACCCGGGAGTCCAGGACCCCAGCCCGCCCCCCTCTCCCCGCCTCCCGCCCCCCGCACCTCCCCGCCCCGAACCAGAGTCCAGGCTAAGCCTCTACTCCTCGGCACCTGAGCGCCCTCCCAGAACTCCCCCTGTCAATCTCAGCTCTGGCCCCGCCTCCCACTCTGCCTCTGGGATTACGTCGGGGGTCGGCCCCGCCTCTTCCGCCAGGGCTGTGGCGCGGACACCGCCAGTTTTCCCTTTCCGGCCTTGCCCCCACTCGGGGTCCTTCCTTTTCCGGATCCTCCTTTGGGGCCGTCCACCGAAGTGCCTGACGAACCTGACAGGACAAAAGGCGGCGATATTTCCTCGATTTGTGTTCTCCACCTACGGGGGCAACGTATTATGTCCCGACGTTCAGGAGGATACTAACGGGGACAGACACTGTCCTTCCTCAAGCACGGAAGCGGGGGGCTCTGACACCGGCGCCGACAATAGACACCTCGGGGCGGAGCCCAGACTAGCCGGGGGGGGGGGGGAGGGCCCTGCGAGCGGCGCGCTCTATAAAGTGGGACGCGAGAGCGAGCCCTACCCTGTTCATTGAGGAGAAAGTCGGACTCTGGTGAGTGTTTCCTTCGTCTTCGGTTTCTTTCCGTCTGCGCGGCAGGGCTTGGGGATCTGGGCCGCGCGTGCAATGAGGTGCCCGGGGCTGTGGCGGGATGGCCACGCTGTCGCGTGGTCGGGACCACGGCCTTCTCCCCGCATCTTGGGGCGTCTGGAGCGGGTCGGGGTCGCGCGCAGTAGGGAGGACTCTCACCGCCGAAGCGCGGCCTGGCGTCCGCCTTTTTGTCCGTCTTCCTGGGGGGCGGGGTACGTGAGGCGGCGAGTTCTCCTGAGATTTGCCGCCCGTACTTCCCTTCCAACCTCGCTGCTGTGTGTCCCACCCCAGGCGGCTGCGCATGTTTTGCCGCCTCGAACAGAGACTGAGGCGAGTTCGGACCCCAGAGGCCGCGAAGGGGAACGTGGGAGTGGGGTCTCCACGCGAATGGCTGGTGTTCCGAGAAGCGGATAGGAATGGCCTCAGGAGAAGACAAACGAGGCCTCTGTCCGCCGTCAGGAATCCTGTTGACCCCGTCACGCTGCACAGTCGGTTAAACATTAGTTCTGGGCTAGTCAGACCTTAATGCCTTGGACTTGGGCTTCCTGGCTGCTGGGCAATGGCTCGCCCTAGGCTACCGGCTGTGAAGCTCATTTCCCGTCTCCCCCGCCAAACACCACCGTGTCCCAAGTGGGAAGATTTTTTCATTCATTCATCATTGGCATTGCCGTCTTTTTGCCACTGCCCCGTGCGTTTCTTTTTTTTCCGTGCCCCTTTTTACTTTTTTTTCCAGAGAGGAAGGGTGAGGGAGAGATCGAAATATCAATGCCTCCTGAGCGCCCCCTAAAGGGGATCTAGTCTGCAACCCGGGCATGTGCCCTTGAACGGTGACCTGGTTCATTAGTCCATGCTCCACTACTGAGCAACACTTTTTCTTTTTTTAAATGTTTTATTGATTTTTTTTTACAGAGAGGAAAGGAGAGGGATAGCGTGTTAGAAACATGGATGAGGGGAAAACATTGATCAGCTGTCTCCTGCACACCCCCCACTGGGGATGTGCCTGCAACCAAGGTACATGCCCTTGACCAGAATCGAACCTGGGACCCTTCAGTCTGCAGGCAGCAGCTCTATCCACTGAGCAAAACTGGTTAGGGCTGAGCAACAACACTTTTTACTTTTTTTTTTTTTTTTTTTTTTTTTTTTAATATATTATATTGATTTTTTACAGAGAGGAAGGGAGAGAGATAGAGTTAGAAACATCGATCAGCTGCCTCCTGCACATCTCCTACTGGGGATATGCCCGCAACCCAGGTACGTGCCCTTGACCGGAATCGAACCTGGGACCTTTCAGTCCGCAGGCCGATGCTCTATCCACTGAGCCAAACCGGTTTCGGCACACTTTACTTTTTATTAGTGAAATATTCAAACATACAGGAAATACACATAATCTTGATATTTGAAACAAGTCACATGTTTGTGTTATTTGCACTTAAGTGTTATTTTTTTCAGCACTTAGTGTTTCGAAAGTAAATTGATTTCATCCAAAGTAGTTTCCACTTAATGTTCCTGAAATAATATTTTCTACTTAATGACAATGCCGTTGTCACCCCTAATGTTTCCCAGTTTCTTAAGTGCTGTTGGCGTGGTCTCAATCCCTGAAGGAGAGTGGCCTTGGGGCCCGGTTGCCAAGGGACTGGGGCTCCCATGATGTTCAGCATTGGGCTCCGATCACCCCTGAGGACACAGTCCCTCCTGGGACCTTTAACACACGGGGGTCCAAGTGGTCCCCCCAGACTGTTTCTTTACATACTCTCACTAAGTCCTTCCCTGTTTCGGGTGTCTCTTCAAGCTGAGGGGCCACCCACCACCACCCCATCTTGGTAAGAATCCTTGCTCCCACTCCCTGACCCACCCAGGTCTAAAACACCTGCATTTTGAGTGACTTCACAGCAGATATCCCTGGGACCTAATTTATATGTGAACAGTCATGCTCAGTATTTACATACAAATCCCAGCTCTGCTATTGGTGGGTTTGAGGTATCAGTCAAGTGATTGTACTCCTTAGCCTCAGTCTCAGTTTCTGTGTCTAGCATCTGACACAACATATCAAGAGCAGAGAGGTTGTTGTCTCATAGTTGTGGGGGAGGGAGGTGGAGGCAGGGCACGATATATCCTGCCTTTGAAAGGAAGGGTTGAATATAGTGAAATGCACAGGCTGTGAAAGGAAGAAATATACATATATTTTTGGGTTTGGGGGGACTAATCAAAAGTCCAATTTTCAGACTTAGCAGAAGAAAAGAAACAGTGGCTAGCAGTTAATACTGTCACTGGTTTCTAGGCTGCATATAGTATATTAGCCAAGTTGAGACAGCTTTCCATAAATTGTGTGCATATAAACTTATAGTTAATAAAGTTACCCTCTACTGACACACAGCTGTTAAAATGACAGTGCACCATGGCAGATATTTCGCAAGTGTTTCAAAGATCTAAGTCATAAAATGGGCCTGGATACAGGTTACCCAAAGAGGAGCAAGTGTTCTAGGCTCTAAGAGGGATTTCCCTCTGTTCCCTGTTCTTGGATCTTACAACACTTGCTGGCAGGCCCTTTAGGGAGGAGATAATGAGAGAAAATCATTGATCATTGATTGCACGCGCACCCCCACCCCCCACACATACACACACTGGGTTTCAAGCCCACAAACCAGGCATGTGTCTATGATCAGGAATCCAACTGTGACCTCCTGGTTCATAGGTTGACACTCAACCACTGAGCCACACCAGCTGGGCCCAAATTGTCTTTTGAGGGGCTGGTGCTCTTCACCCTAAGTGCCCACTGAGAGGGAATTTCTGGGAAAGTGTGGAGGGAGGGAGGTGCCAGCTTGACAGAGGTATTGGGGGGGCAGGGGAGATAGTGTCTGTCTTTTTTATTATTGTTGTTGAAAGTATTACATACAGTGTACCGGTTAATGTGGATTTTTTTTCAATAGATGGAGTTACACATAGGTTAATATATGTACAATTTGATACATATGCTATTTTGCATTCACAGCAAGCTTCAAAACTTCATGTCAAATTTTCTGAAGGTGTTAACATCGTAGATATTTTTACACTTAAAATGTCGAATTTCATGCCAAAAAAAAAACATTTGCAGGAAGTTTTAATTCATTACTTTATTTTGAAGAAAAGTGCTGCTGAAAGTTATCATATACTTTGGGAAGCTTATGGTGAACATGCTCCATCTCAAGATACTTGTGAATGCTGGTTTAAACGCTTTAAGTGATGATTTCGATGTGAGAGACAAAAGAACATCCAGGTCAACCAAAAGTTTGAAGACCAGCACTTACAAGCCTTATTAGATGAAGATGTGAGTCAAACTCAGAAACAACTTGGAGAAAGATTAGATGTTGCTCAGCAAACAATTTCCGATTGTTTACAAGCAATGGGAAAGAATTTAAAGGAAGGAAAATGGGTGCCACATCAACCGAACAAAAGACAAATGCAAAACCGAAAAGTCATCAGTAAAATGTTGCTTCAGTGGCAAGAAAGAAAGTCTTTTGCATCGAATTGTGACCAACAGTGAAAAGTGGATTTATTTTGAGAATCCCAAATGCACAAAATCATGGGTTGATGCAGGTCAACCATCAACATCGATGCAAGGCCAAATCGCTTCATAAAGAAGACAATGATCTGTGTTTGGTGGTATCGGAAAGGTGTGGTGTATTATGAGCTGCTAGAACCAGGTGAAACTGTTAATATTGATCACTACCGGCAACAAATAATTTGAACCATGCTTTGATCATAAAATGACCAGAATGGGCCAGAAGATACGGCAAAGTCATTTTATCATGATGACACACCGTCACACACTTTAAAACCAGTTAAAGACACGTTAAAAGATCTTGCCTAGGAAGTATTAACCCACCCGCCGTATTCACCAGATCTTGCTCCTTCAGATTACCACTTGTTCCAATCAATGGCACACGCACTTTCTGAGCAGCACTTCAAAACATGAAGAAGTGGAAAATTGGGTCTCTGAATGGTTTGTCTCAAAACAAGAAAAGTTCTATTGGGACGATATCCACAAATTGTCGGAAAGATGGGTAGCTAGCAATGGACATTAAATTGCCGTGTTTTGATTATAAAATCCGCATTATTAACCAGTACACCTGTTCCCTATTTTTCCCCCATTGATCCTCTCCAGCCTGTCCTGTGTCCTGTCTGTCCCCCAGACCCTCACCACTCCATTGTCTGTGTTCATGGACCATGCATCTATGCCAGCCGTGGGCAAACTATGCCCCGCGGGCCAGATTCGGCCCGTTTGAAATGAAGAAAACTAAAAAAAAAAAAAAAGACTGTAAATTTATATTAGTTCACACAAACACTCCATCCATGCTTTTGTTCCGGCCCTCCGGTCCAGTTTAAGAACCCATTGTGGCCCTCGAGTCAAAAAGTTTGCCCACCCCTGATCTATGCATACAAGTGGACAGCATATTTCTACAAAAAACTTGGATTTAAGGGTTTCCTTTTGCTAAAGTAGCTCACAATAGGGAGTGCTTGCCCTGTTTGAGTACTTTCGAGAACTCATCAGATCCTCCCAGATCCTGATGGCAGGCATTTAACTTTTCTCTGATTCAGAAGGTTCTGGTATAGCTGCTTCCCCAGGTTAAGAAGCAAGGAATGGTGATGCAGGCCTGGCCCAGAGCTGGATGCTTTGGGGAGCTGGGTGGGAAAGCAGGCCTGAGGTGTGGGCAGAGCACGTGCAGGGATGTGCTCATCGGACCCACCTTGGAGCTGAGCCAAGGGGACACCTTTATCTCATTGGATTCTGCCAACAGCCTGTCTGCAAGGCGAATCTATCCCCATTTTCAACAGTGGGGCTTAGGTCAGGTGCTGCAGGTCATACAAGTAGTGTGACACCCAGGGATAAGCCACTGAGGTGTCAATGAGATACAGTGTCAGAAGGCAGGCGATGGGGGTTCTGTTGTTGCAGCTCAGGGCCATGTATTAGTCGTTTTTCCTGCCTGGATCTTTGCGTTCTTGTCTGTGTTGTCCCCTTAGGACTGTAGGCAAGTAGCTCTGGGGCCTGGGTGAAGAGGGAGACTAGGGTCCCCATGATGTCCAGCACTGGGCTCTGACCTCACCTGAGGACATGGTGCCCCCTGGGATCTTTGACAGGGGCCCTGGCTCTGGGGAGGGATGCATGGGGGACTATGGTTGCCCTGCACCCCCGCTAACTGCTTTCCCTCCCTACTCCTTTCTGCAGGTGGTTCCTCCAGGAGTCAACAGCCCCTCCCATCCTTGGTAAGAACAGAAGTATTCTTATTGACTCCATAATAATCATGTTTCTAATGTTACAAATTTCTAGTTAAAAAGACCTAAATTGTGGTGATGTTGGTATAATGAGAGGTACTGAGCACCCACTCTGAGCATGCACAGTGCTCTGCACTTGGTCCGTCAGACCTCAGGAGCCCAATGAGCTGGGTGCTTTGTTCCTGTTCCACAGCTGAGGACCTGCATGTACAGAGACTGATTTCCCCGCGCCATCTCCTTTTTGAAAAGGGGAAAGGGCCTTATTTCTGCAATCTCCATGCACATTGAGGTGATGGTTGTGCTCTCTGTTTGCCTCTTCCCTGTAGCTAAGTCGGCAGAACCAACGAGGTTGGCTTTTGCTGTTGTTAATCCTCACCCAAGGGTATTTTTCCTTTGGTTTGGTTTTTTTTTTTTTTTTAGAGGAAGAGGGAGAGACACATCAATTGGTTGTCTCCCACACGCACCGTGACCAGGACTGGGGATTGAGCTTGCAGCCAAGGTACATGCCCTCGACCAGACTCAAATCCAGGACTCTTCAGTCCATGGGCCAACACTCTAACCACTGAGCCAGACCTGCTAGGGCTAAAGAGGTTGGTTTTGATCCCCACTAATGACCCATCTGTGACTTGCCTGCCTGGCTGAGGTGGAGGTTCCTGTGTGGATGCTGTGGCCTGGACTTACAGCGGAGCCCCCCAGAGAGGGCAGCCCCCAAAACTGCCACACCACTCCTGAATCATGTGACCACCACTGTGCAGAGATGGGATGGGTGGGTGGGGATGTGTAAGGAGGTAGATGCATGAGCAGTGGGATTAGATGGGCTGTGCTTGGGGCCCCTATGATGTCCAGCACTGGGCTCTGACTTCTCATGAGGACACTGTGCCCCCTGGAACCTTTGACACCCAGGGGTCTGAGGGGCCCCAGCTCCAGGGAGGTGTTGCAGCTGTAATTGTTTGCCACACCTGGTGCCCCTGTGTCCCTACCTGCAGCTCCTTTAGTAGCACCCCTTGTGCTTCCTGCTGTTTCCCTCCAGGGCAGCTGTGACCATGGCCGAGAACAATATGGGGCCAGCACACCGCTACTACACATTCACTGAGCTCCTGGCCATTGCACAGCACTTCAAGCAGAAGCCTGAGGAGCACATGATCGCCTGGATCCTGCGGGTGTATGACCAAGGCGGCTTGGCCCTGGCCCTAAATTCCCAGGAGCTGGCACTGCTGGGTAACCTGACCAGCGACACCATCTTCAACTGCCTCTGCAAGGGTTTGCAGGGCAGCCGCAAGGCGCTACTCACCTGGCTGCTGCAGGCCTGGCGCCAGTACTGGCCGTCCATCCTACACATTGGGATGCCCTTTTTATCCTGTGTCATCATGGAGCATTGCATCCTGCTGGTGCGCCTGATGGGCATGCTGGAGTGGATATACCATGAGCCTGCATCTGAGCAGGCACCAAAGCCTACACCTGAGGACATGCCCTTCACACAGAACCTGCATCAGCACCTGCTGGCCCAGGCCGTGCCCCATTTGCAGCAGTCGCTGGTCAACCTGCCACTCAAGGACATGACAGTGCTGAAGGTGGTGATGGCGATTTCACGGCTGAAACCTTAGGGCTGATTTCAGGGCTGGCTCCTGAGCCATGGCGTGTCCAAGGAGAAGGTGGGCAAGCAGTCCATCAAGGAGGCCACACGTAGCTGCAGCCTCCCAACCTCAAGGCTGGAGGAAAAGCAGCACTGGCCCTTCCCCCCACACACACACACAACCCCCCGTCCCCCTTCCCCCCTACTCCATCAAGACCTGAGGGTAGGAGCTGGGCCCTCGGGGAGGGGGGGAGATGAAAAGTCCCCTGAGGGACTGCCCTTTTGTTTTTAAGATGTAAGAGTTGAGTATTTTTTTTATATATGTATATAGGGTGTCCCAAAATTCACACAAGATGTGCAATTGAATTGAATTGCAAATCTTGCGTGAATTTTGGAACACCAGGGGTGGGCAAACTTTTTGACTCAAGGGCCACAATGGGTTCTTAGACTGGACCGGAGGGCAGGAACAAAAGCATGGATAGAGTATTTGTGTGACCTAATATGAATTCAAAGTAAACATCATTACATAAAAGGGTACGGTCTTTTTTTTTTTTCTTTTTTAGTTCATTTCAAGCGGGCCGTAGTTTGCCCACGGCTGCCCTATACAGTGGCGCCTTGACTTACGAGTTTAATTCGATCCAAGACCGAGTTCGTTAAGGAGCTCCTTAATTCAAATTACTCTGTCAACTCAAAGCAAAAAATCGGCCAAGAGACTCGTTAGTCGGGACACTTGTAAGTCAAGGCCCCACTGCATATGTATTGATTGAGATAGAAACATCAATGATGAGAATCATTGATTGGCTGCCTCCTGCATGCCCCTTACTGGGGATTGAGCCTGCAAGCCGGGCATGTGCCCTTGATCAGAATCAAACCAGGGACCCTTTGGTCCGCAGGCTCTATAAATTGAGCCAAACTGGCTAAGGCTGTTGTGTTCTTTATGGGCAGGCCACCCTCACCTAGTTTTGAGGAGCCCAGAAGAATAAGGTGTCCTTGCCCCTGGTAGCTACTTCATTAGTGTCACTGGCTGGCCACAGTGATTCTGTAAAGAACCCAGGAGGCCTCTTATATTTCAGCTGAAATAGCATGTTGGGTGGGCCCCCCTCAGGCTCCCAAAGCACTACAGGCCCAGCGGGAAGACCCCATGGCCTACATAAAGTTTGCACTGTTTTTATTTGCTAATTCATTGTTTTCACTTACAACATTTACAGCACTTTGGTTTTAAGCACACTCTTCTCTGTTGTCTTGGTTTTTCTCTCTTAAGACTTTTGTTTGTAACACCTTTTCCCTCTGAAGCCAGCCTGCTGTTTGCTCACCTGGGGAAGGGACTGCCAGTCACAGTGTCTCTTGCTGCATGTGTGGTTTCTGGCCAGTGTCTGGGTTAAGTGTTGACCAGGAATCCCGCTGGGGGTGGGGAGTGAGGGCTTAAATAGTGAGCATCGCTGCATATGAACTGTGGTGCTTGACGCGGCCCCCATGCAGAGCCATTTCCAGAACCCTCATGGGGCAGGGTTCTGGACACGCCTGTCTCCATGGGCCCTACTGAGAGAGACCTATGTTCCATCAAGCCCTAGCAGCCGGGCAGGGAAACCTGAGAACTCAGTTGGGCCTTCCCTGCATGAGAAGAAGCTGGGTCCCTCCCAGGACCCAGTACAGAGGGCATCTGGCGTGGCAGCCTCACTCCTAAGGCCTGTCCAGCATCAACAATGGGTGTGATGGTGGGGTGACTAGGCTACATTCAGAGCCCAGGGCATGATCCCCTGCCCACAGTGCTGGGAGTTGGGTAGATCCAGCTTTCTCCTCTCACAGTCTGGGGGGCTCTGCACCCCGTTTCCCCCAGGGGAGGGTTAGAGGGTCCTGGTAGCTGGGATTGACTTTTAGCCACATCCTCTCCCCCAATCCACCTTCGATTCTCCAACTCTGCCATTTGTAGTGGGCACTGAGTGAGTGGCTGCCTGCTACACACCAACACCCCCGCCCCCAGTGCTCTGATCTGGGGTGTTCACACACTTCAGCCTGATGCCTGGCTGGTGGGGAGTTCAGTGGCTGCAGGAGCGTAACTGCTGTCTGGGCGCTACACCCACTGAGCCCAACAGCCACGTGCGGCCTGTGAGCCATTGAGATGTGGCTGGGACCTGAATCTAACATTTTATTTAAATGGCCGGATGACAGTCCTGAGAATGGTCCAGCTGCACCTGCTCTGCTGGTCCTAGGAGGTTCATTTCGTAGGTGCTGAGGTCTGACTCTTGACTCACCCTGAGATGGGAGAACAGAGGCCTGTGGCTTCCCAAGTCACGCAGCCTTGGGACCTGGCTTAGCTCTCTGGATACTAGACAGATTGCACGTGTGTATAGGGGCTTATCAAACATGCACAGGTGTGCCATCACATGCAGAATGTTCAAATATCTACATGTGAGCTACATGCATGTGCACAAACCATGTACATGTGTGTGCACACAACCACTTGTGACTCCCAGGCCTGGGAGCTCTGTGTGTCTGTTCCCCCTACACAGGCGCACACAGTAAATCATGGAAGCTGGTACAAGAGGTGAACACACATGTTGGGGTCCAGGGTCAGCAGTGGGGAAGGGGTGCCCAGTTTCATGGCACTCACAGGGTCTCCCCAGGCCCGCATGCAGCCAGGCCAGCAAGCCCAGCCCTATGCAGAGCGCCGCCAGCATGGCCACAGCCCCAGCCAACAGGGGCACGACGGTGGCTGCAGGGAGAACAGGAGGGGTGAGTCTCAGGACTTGAACCCTCCTATTCCCACCCCAACACCAAGGGCCTCACCCGTGGGAGTGGGAGTCTCATGGGTGCCGTGGCAGGGGACCCCGTGAGCTGGAGGCCGGGCCGGGGCGGTCAGCTGGCGGAAGCGGCCTAGTGGGCAGGGGGCTGGGCACCCGGGGAGGCTGAGGCTCAGGGGCAGGCCGGCGGAGTCGTTGCGGTAGAAGAGGGAGATGGTGACGTTCCTGCAGAGAGAGAGGCGTGGCAGCAAGGCTCCTCACCTCCCCTGCCACTGACCTCAAATCTACAAGCATCTGAATGGAGGAGCTGGGCTCCTGGCCACCCGTCAACCTCCTGATGGCCTCCCTGGCCAACTCCCCCTCCAGGCCGGTGCCGGGGCGGCCCTCTGCCTGCCACCATCCCTCCTCTGGAGAGCTCTGCCCGCCCGTTCCCAGGCGCCACCTCTCCTCACCCTGCATCTTCGTCGTCGTCGAGGGCCCCCCGGCTCCTCCGGAACTCGAAGCCCAGGCAGGCAGCATAGGGCGGGGTGTGCCCGTCGTAGAGGCCCAGGGCCCCCTGGAGGGCCAGCAGGGTGCTGTCGTGCTGCCGGCAGATCAGGGCTGAGCCACCTCCTCTCTCCTCCCCTGACGACCTCTCTCTGCGCTCCAGGCTCCTGCATCCAGCTGCCTCCCAGATGTCCCCAGGCTCCTTAGGAACCCAGCCCCCAAAGCTGCTCACCCTGAAGGCAGTCCCACTGGGTACAGGGAATCATTCAATAAAGATTAGTCAAATGGCCCTGCTGGCGTGGCTCAGTGGTTGAGTGTCAACCTCTGAACCATGCAGTCGAGGTTCAATTCCCAGTCAGGGCACATGCCCAGATTGTGGGCTTGATCCCCAGTGTGGGGCGTGCAGGAGGCAGCCAATCAATGATTTTCTCTCATCATTGACATTTCTATTCCTCCCTCTTCCTTCCTCTCTGAAATCAATAAAAATATATTTAAAAAAAAAAAATTGGTCAAATGGATGCAAAATATGATTGGACAGCTCAATTCAACAGCCTGTCCTCCCAGAGGAGCTGAATTCTTAGAACACCATCTCCTCCCTCCTTCCAGACGCTATACCTCTATTGATACCTCCATATCCTGAGAAACGCTGACTGAGTGAGGCTTGGCGGGGATCCCCTAGCATGGGAGCGAACTGGGTCAGGCCACGACTTGCTTGCGGTCTGCGTCCGACTGTCTGGACGTGTGCCTCACAGCTGAGAAGCCCGCCAGTAGCTCACCCAACGATCTCAGCTGATGGAGGCCTGGTTCCACATGCCCCCATAGTTTAAGTAGCTCAGGACTCCTGGGCAGGAGGAGCTGGGGAGGCTACTGGACTCCCAGCCTGGTGGAGGCCCCGCCCACTTCCCCTAGGCCCCGCCTCCTTGGGTTCACAACCATCCAGCAAAGCTCAGCCCAGGGTTCTCTCTGGGCCCGCCCCTTCTTCCCTATGGGGGCAGCTCTGACCAATCCACAGTATCAAGGCGCCTCTGCCCCAGCATAGGTAGTAGGTAAACAGGGAATCTATGGCTTTGGTCTCAGGGCCTGGCAGTTGGCTACAAAGAGCGTCATGCTGAGGATAACCAGGAACCCTGCGCTTGGGTGGGGCCAGAGATGGACACTAGGCTAAGCAGGTAGCCCAGAACCTCCAGACACACCTACACACACACACACGCTCTCGACAGTCAGAGACGCCCTCTACCCTACTCACCCCAACTGAGAAAGACAGAGGAAGGAGAACTGTGAGAGAAAGTGTCAAAGACGGACCCAGGTGACCCTGGGACAGAAAAGTCTGAGATCCGCCTCCCAGGGCACAGATGCTGGGGTTGGGAGGGCACCCCATCCCCCAGGCCCACACTTACCAATGCTGAAGCTGAGTAAACTGAAGATAAGGTCGGTCTTGTTCAGGCGGCGGAAGACCGGCCAGAAGGAGAGGACCATGGTGGTGACAAGGATGAGACAAGTGGCCAAGGCCAGCATCATGAAGCCCATGCTCATGTGGATGAGAACTGGGGGGAATGGGGGAAGTGGGGGGAGGGAGGATTGTCCCAGAGTCACCCCCAGATGCTCTCCAAGGTCAACCTCTAAGCTCATGTCAATGACACCCCTGAGCAGTACCCCCAAAGGCCCCCCAGAGTTTGACTACAGACGTCCTCAAAGTCACTCCCATTCCCATCACCAAAGTCACCTCCTAGAAACCCCAAAATATGACTCTGACAAAATCACCCCCCGGGGAACCTGTAAACTGCAAGTCATCCCCACTCACACCCTCAGAGTTCTCCCAAATCAACCCCCATTCGCCCTAAACATAAGCCCCAGACACCCTCCTAATCAACTACGCATACCAGGGTCACCCCACAGATGACCCCTGAGTCACCCCCACTCACATTCTTGAGGTCACGCCACAGAATCATCTCAATCATTTCTAGAGTCACCCCCACAGTTACTCCCAAAGTCGCCCCACTCACACTCCCAAAAGATGTCCCACAGCAACTCACAGTATCCTCACTATCACTCCCAGACATGCCCAAACACACGTGCAAAGTTATCCAAGACACTGTAGTCTCTTCAGTGATGAAGAGGGGTTCCGGGGTGTGGAAGCCAGGAAGGTGGGTGTCTCTCTACTCCTCTCCCCTCACACTCCTAGGTCCCCTAGTGACCCCTTTCACACCCCAAAACCTCTTCCAATGTCACCTCCATTCACACCATAGAACGCCCCCCAACACAGACATTCTCCACATCCCCCATACATCTCCCAGAGCACACACACAGATGTACACATGCAAAAAAACAACAAACAAAAACAAAAAAACTTACAAATATCTAAAATCAGGGTACCTAAAAGATGTCATTGCATTCACTATCCTATATAATAAAAGGGTAATATGCAAATTGACCCTAATGGTGGAACTGGCCACTATGATGCGCACTGACCACCAGAGGGCAGATGCTCAATGCAGGAGCTGCCCCCTGCTGTCAGTACGCTCACACGGGAAGCTCCACTCAGCCACAAGCTGGGCTGATGGCTGCAAGCGCAGCAGGGATGGCGGGAGCCTCTCCCACCTCTTCAGCAGCGCTAAGGATGTCTGAATGCGGCTTAGGTCTGCTCCCTGAGGGGGCCTAAGCTGCAGTCGGACATCCCCTAAGGGCTCCTGGGCTGCCAGAGGGATGTCTGACTACCAGCTTAGGCCCAATCCCCCACAGAGCAGGCCTAAGCCAGAGGTGGACATCCCCCAAGGGCTCCCAAACTGTGAGAGGGTGCAGGCCAGGCTGAGGGACCCCCCACCCCTGAGTGCACAACACTCAGGACATCCGGGCCTCTAGTAGAACTGATATTTATCCAGTTTACACTGCAGTGTGACAAGACTTGCAGCTCCTTCGAAGAACAGCCCCTTCCTACTTTGCCTGCTTTTGAACAGTTTCAGCCAAATGAGCTAAGACTTCATCTGCTATGCTTCTGGCAAACTGCACACCTCTAACACCTAACCAGCAAGCAAAAGGTTCATCCTATATACACAATAGCAATGGCGCTCTCTGGTGATTACAAAACCCTGATGGAAGGCTTCTCCAGGCACATCTTTGTGCTCTGGGGCCACAGAGATACATGTGACTCTGATTGAGCCAATCACAGTGTCCCATGCCCCAGACCATGGTGATGGGCCATAAGGTGGGCACATGATCAAAGCCTTCAGTTAGACTTTTTCTAACTGAAGTTTTTGGGACAGCTGTCCCTCCTCTGGTCCATAAGACCAGGAGCCTGGAGCTGCCTGAGCCTTGCTCCCAGCCTCCTGGGGGCTGGGAGACCTGAGGGAGTAAAACTAAAAAAGGAAAGCAGACAAGAGAAGGAGAGTTGAGGCGACACTGGCTGTTGGGCTGTTGTCATCCCAGAGACCAGCCCATCCTGTGGCTTGGTCAGAAAAGAGTGGATGTTTACGGCTTACCTCCACACCATGCATGTCACCCTCCTACCTGTTCCCCACTCTCAGCCCCAGTTATAAGCCAATCAGTGCATTGCATTGCTCTGGCCACCAGGCTTGGTTGGCGGTACTGATGTGACCCAGCCAGGGCTTTGACGGGAACGTTCAGGGAGGGGGGGCAGCATGCAGAAGGCAACCAATCAATGATTCTCTCTCATCATTGATGTTTCTATCTCTCTCCCTATCCTCTCTTATACATATAATATATAATTATATTATATATATAATTTTTAAAAGGGCATGGCTCCTCCTCTGCCCAGGCCCTGGTCCGGGCGCATGCAGGAGGCAACCAATCAATGTGTTTCTCTCACATTGATATTTTTCTGTCTTTCCCTCTCTCTTCCACTCTCTCTACAAATCAATGGAAAAGTATCTTCAGGTGAGGATTTAAAATAATAATAATTTTTAAAATAAAATAAAGGTAGTTACCCTGGCCAGTGTGGCTCAGTCAGTTGGGCGTTGTCCTGTGCACTGAAAGAAAGGTCATGGTTCTATTCTAGGTCAGAGCACATGCCCAGGTTTCAGGCTCAGTTCCCAGTAGGGGGCGTGTAGGAGGCAGTCGATCAATATTTTGCTCTCACAAATAAGTTTCTCTCTCTCTCAAAATCAATAAAAATATATTTTAAAAATACAAATAATAAAATGATGGTAGGTGCAGCAGCTGGTAAAAGAAAAGTGTTTTTATAAAACTTACTAGAGGCCCGATGCATGACATTCGTGCAAGAGTAGGCCTTCCTTCCCCTGGCTGCCAGCACCAGCTTCCTTCTGGCACCAGGGACCCAGGCTTCCCTTGCAGCCCTGGCTTCTTCATCTGGAAGGTCATCCGGTAGGACATCCGGGAGGACATCTGGTCTAATTAGCATACTCTGCTTTTATTATTATAGACTAGAGGCCCAGTGCATGAAAATTCATGCACTGGAGGGGAGGTCCCTCAGCCTGGTCTGCTCACAGTCCAGGTGCCCTCAGGGGCATGAGGCAACCCGGCCACCATGGGAAGGTGACGCCCCCATCACACCTCTGCTGCTGCCACTGCCGGCAGCGCAAGCCTCGGCCGGCCCTGGTTACCTGAGCCTTGGGTAACCCTGGGCAGCTGGGCAGCCAACATCTGAGGCTTGCCTGCACCTTGGGCCATCCCTGGGCAGCTGGGGGCCTGAGGGCGGATCCGGCCTCACTGCCACCCCCGGTGGGTTTGAAAGGACTGGGGCCTCCGGGGAGGCTGAGGGAACTAGGCGTCGCCATCTTGTGACTATGGGCGCCGCCATCTTTGTAACGGTGGGACAGTGAATTTGCATATTCCGTCTTTATTAGATAGGATAGCTAAACTTGGTGTAGCACTTAATATGTGCCAGGCAGTGTTCTCATTCCTTTATGTGTTTTAGCTCACACATTAACAGCTCACAAATTGGTACTGCTATTACTGCCATTTTTAGAAATGTGGAAACTGAGGCACAGAGAGGTGAAAAAATGTATCCAAGATCACCCAGCTACCAAGTGGTTGGACTAGGATTTGAACTAGGCACTCTGGCGCCAGGCTCCGGGCTGTCTCCTGTTGCAATGCTCAAAAGCAATGAAGAGCCCTAGCCAGCTTGGCTCAGTGGATAGAGCCTGCAGACTGAAGGGTCCCAGGTTTGATTCCAGTCAAGGGCACATGCCTGGGCTGTGAGCTCGATCCCCAGTAGGGGGCGTGCAGGAGGCAGTCGATCAAGGATTCTCTCTCATCATTGATGTTTCTCTCCCTTCCTCTCCCTCTCTGAAATCAGTAATAATGTATTTTAAAATATATTTTTGAAAAAGCAATGAAGAGACCAACAAGGAGGCAAAATGTTCCTGCTGAAACCTCTTGTCATCTTTTCTGGAAAAACAAAATGTTATATGAGAGAGAGAGAGAGAAAGTGATGGTGTTTCCAGCCACCTAGTGATGAGGCAGGCGGGCTTTCGGTCAAGTATAGTGCTCACTTTCCCATTTCCTTATGAGCCAGAAAGAACTCCAGGAGCCCTGGCCGGTGTGGCTCGGTTGGCTGAGCGTTGTCCCAGGCACCAAAAGGTCACAGGTTGCACCAAAAGGTCACAGGTTGGAGTCCCGATCAGGGCACATGACCAGGTTGCTGGTTTGCTCTCCAGTGAGGGCCGTGCAGGGGGCAGCCAATTGGTGGTTCTCTCTCATCGATGTTTCTCTCTCTCTCTCTCTCTCTCTCAAATCAATTAAAAAAACAAACATATTTAAGCCTAACGGGTTTGGCTCCGTGGTTAGAACATCAGCCTGCGGACTGAAAGGTCCCAGGTTCGATTCCAGTCAAGGGCATGTACCTTGGTTGCAGGCACATCCCCAAGACGGGGGCGTGCAGGAGGCAGCTGATCGATGTGTCTCTCTCATCGATGTTTCTAACTCTCTATCCCTCTCCCTTCCTCTCTGTAAAAAATCAATAAAATATATATTTAAAAAACATATTTTAAAAGAAAAAATACTTTTAAAAAAATATCAGTTCTCTTCTCACTTCAGTGGTGATTTTGTTTTCTTTCTTCGGTGGTGTTTTTTTTAAAAAAAAAAAAAAAAGAAAAGAAAAGAAAAGAAAGAAAGAAAAAAAAGTACCCCAGAAGACCCCCTCACAAGGCCTTCAGAGAATCTCCAGAAACCCTTTCTCAAAGGCTCTGAAAAGATTTCCCCCCAAGGACACCTAAAGATCCCTGCCCCTGATCAGCTCCAAGGATCCCCTGCAGAGTGCCCCAGAGCCCGTCCATGGCCCCACTGACCAGTGACTTGGCCCACGTCGGAGCATTTGTACTTCTTGCAGTTGATCCAGAAGCCCATGTAGCCAGAGTAGGAGCCCTCCAGGTAGACCATCCGCCCGTCCACCGCGCTGAGCACCATCAGGGTCGTGAGGGTGCTGAAGACCAGGGCCCAGCCCCGCAGGATGTACTTTCTGTCCTCCTCCCAGGAGTAGTTTGGGTCCGCTGGGAAAGAATCGAGGACTGGGGGGTCAGGATGGGCCTGCATCCTCCTGCGGTCCGTCCCTGAGCACAGCCGTGTCTCCGTCCCCACCCGAGCCTCCCCTTCCACCCCGTTCTCAATCCCCTTCCACCCCAACCCCGATGCCAACCACATCCCCATCTCCGTTCCTGTCTCATCCCCCGTTTTAACTTTGTCTCCAGCACCATTCACAGCCCCACGCCACCCACCATAGTCTCGGTCCTCAACCCCAAACACAGCCCCCTGCCCATCTCCAACCCTCATGCCCAACTCATCCCCCATCCTCAACCCTATTCCAAGCTCAAGCCCATCCTCCTGTCCCCATTCCCCAAGCCCTCGCTAGAACCAGCCCCTCTCTGGACCTCATCCCCTTATCTCCTTCGACGTCACAAATCCCAACCCAGGACGCGCACAACAACGACACAGATTCCAGAGGGTGCTCACGAGGCCATGACCCATGGTGTCAAAAGAGTAAATGCAGGGGATACACCCAATATTCACCAAGCCCCTGTGGTCCCGCCAACCTTCCCAGCTGGCAAGGGCCCCCCGGGTCCCACTGTTCACTAACTAGACTTCACAGGGTCTTTCCCACTTGGTTACCTCCACGCAGTCCCGCCTACTCCTCCAACCTGGGCACTCCGCTTCCACCTTTGCCCAGACTGCCTTAATCACCCTCACCGCTAATGTCACTTCTTCCGCATCTCCTTTCTGACACCCCCACCCCCGGCAACTGACCCCCACAGCCTCAGTTCTTAGTCAGGTTGCTCATTAAATGCTCCTAGAGTACAATGTGCAATTCCTCACGGACTTGTCAGTCGTTATTCCACTGACTTTTTTTTTTTTTTTTTTAAATCTTGACCCAGGGATAGTTTTCTATTGATTTTTTAGGGAGAGTGGGAGAGAGAGGGAAAGAGAGAGAGAAATATCGATGTGAGAGAAGCACGTCGATTGGTTGCCTTCTTCAGGAGCCCAGACCAGGGCCCAGGTGGGGGAGGAGCCTGCAACCAAGGTACCTGCCCTTGACTGGAATCGAACCCGGGATCCTTCAGTCTGCAGGCCAATGTTCTATCCACTGAGCCAAATCAGCTAAGGCTTCACTGATTTTTTTTTTTCCTTAACCAGTTTTCCAGGACAGACCCCCATTAGGATAGAGGACAAATCTGCACCCCTATCGCCTGCTGCACCCCTATTGCCTGGCACACAGCCTTTGCTATCCTATATAATAAAACCCTAAAATGCCAACAGCGGAATGACCGGTCACTATGACGCACACTGACCACCAGGAGGCAGAAGCTCAATGCAGGAGCTGCCCCCTGGTGGTCATTGTGGAGCTCCCACAGGGGAAGCACAGCAGGAGCCTCTCCCACCTCCACTGCAGGCAGGCGGTAAGGAGCAAAGGGTCCTGGACGGCGAGAACCCCAGACTGCAAGAGGGATGTCTGACCGCTGGCTTAGGCCCAATCCCAAGCCAGGAGGTGGACATCCCCCAAAGGTTCCCGGACTGCAAGAGAGTGCAGGCCGGGCTGAGGGACAACCCCCCTCCAGTGCACAAATTTTGTGCACTGAGCTTCTAGTAATAAATAAAGGGGTGAAATGGATTCAGAGAGGGCCCTGGAAGGGGTGTGGAGTGAGGCAGGTAGGAAGAGGGAATTATAACTTCAGGACCTCCGAAAACTGTAAGAACTAATCTCAGAGACACTGGTGACTCAACCCTACCTAGTCCTGACCCCGCTCTGGCCCCTCTCTAACCCTGTCTCCACTCTGAGATTGCTCCCTACCCCCCAATCCACCCCTTGCCCTGTCCTGACACCTCTCTGACCCAGCTACGACCTCTTCTTGTCCCAATCCCGACCCTGCCCAGACCCCACACTGAATGCACCCAGACCCAGTCCCAACCCCCATGTCACTCACACAGGTCCACTGTGCAGGATGCGTCCATGGCCAACATCCCAACTTCCTGGAACCTCTCCAACTGTCACGGAACCTCCCAGCAGCCCGAACTTCAGGCCAGCCTGGAGCCCTGAGGCCTGCCTGAGGACAGTAGGAGAGACCAAGAAACACTGAAGAAAGGACAAAGAGGTCAAAAGGCCAAGGGACAGAGCCTGAACCCCGGAGAGAGACAAGCAGACTTCCAGTGGCCACTGAGGTTCCGGGAAAGAAGGTCGGAGGCAGTTGGCAGACTGTTGAGTGCACCCAGGGACTGGCTTGGCCCTCTACCGCCACATGTCCCGCAAGTCCCCATCTGGCCAACAGAGCAACCAGGCAGATGTCCTTACAGAAGATCCCGAAAGTGACACCCAAGATGAGACTTCAGACCCTTTGCCCAACACCTCCAGGCTAAGTGCCCAGGACCCTCCACCCATTCTCCACTCTAGCCCGGTCAGCACCCAAGAACCGCCACCCGTGACCCACTCTCGCCGGGTCAGCATCCAAGAGCCGCCACCCGTGACCCACTCTCGCCGGGTCAGCATCCAAGAGCCGCCACCCATTCTCCACACTCGCCGGGTCAGCATCCAAGAACACCCACCCACTGTCCACACTCGCCGGGTCAGCATCCAAGAACCACCACCCATTCTCCACACGCGCCGGGTCAGCATCCAAGAACATCCACCCACGGTCCACACTCGCCGGGTTAGCATCCAGGAACACCCATCTGTCATCCAAGAGACACTGCCCGTCACCCACACTCGCCGGGTCAGCATCCAAGAACCTTCACCCATCTTGCGCACCCGCCGGGCCAGCGTCCAAGAACCTCCGTCCATCTTGCGCACTCGCCGGGCCAGCATCCAAGAGCCTTCGTCCATCTTGCGCACTCGCCAGGCCAGCGTCCAAGAGCCATCGCCCATTGACGAGAGTCTCTGGGGCAGTATCAGAGAGGCACCATCCCTGGGTAACATTAGCCAAAAGAGTATCCAAGAGACACCATCCACTGTTAACATTAGCCAAACGAGTATCCAAGAGACACCCTCCGTGAGCAGCGTTCACCAAGCCGGCCCCCAAGACACAGCGCCAGTGACCCCTCTCAACACTCTGACCGTTCCGCCAAGTGGCCAAACGAGTTTCCAAATTCGTAGGTTCAGTATCCCCAGGCCTTCGCCGATGCCCCACATCCCCCTGGCCTGCGTAGAATCAGTTGCCTACACCAATCAAACCAGTTTGGGAGACAACTTGACAAGCACCCAGAGTCAAAGTTTAAGGGTTCCAGGCATCAAGTTCCCAAACCGGGCCAGTGTGGACGTCCCCCCTTCAATTACCGAGAGCCCTGAGGCCAGCATGGAAAGCATGGAACAAATTCTCTGGACCTCCCAGGAGGACTTCAAAGAATCTTTGTACAACCTCCAATTAAGCAAAAATACTCCAGATAGCGATGTCCAAAGCATCCCGCTACACAGCTCCACGGACACCAGCTCTTCCAGGTGAGAGGCAGAGGTCCAGGCAAAAAGGCCAGGTTCTGGGTGAGAATTGGGGGGGTAGGGGATGGGGGTGGAGGGAGACAGCAGTCAAAGGACAGGGACCAGAACATGCCTGGCATAGCAGAGATTAGAGGTTGGACCTAGGTGTGGCAGGTCTTGGAAGCTGGTCCTGCAGGCTGGCCATGGGTAGGACATAACACAGAATCTGGAGAGGGGATTTTAGGATGGCAGGGCCTGGAAGCTAGATCTGGAGGCAAGGGGACCTGGAGGGCAGGACCTGGGGGAGACAGGGTATAGAGGATGGACATAGAGAAGATAAGAGTCTGAAGGGTAGACTGGGTGGGACCGGGTCTGGCAGCCGGACCTGGGATGGTTGGGCTGGGGAGCTGGACGCGGCGCTGACACTGGCGGTGGGCTCTCTGCAGCAGGTTTTTGGTCAGGGCTGAACGCAGACATTCACAGCTGCCCGTGGGCACGCGGCTGCTGCACCAGGCCAAGAAGCTCAGCCGCCAGCTGAGCCTGGTGCTGAGCCTGGTGGGCGCGGTGATCATCGGTCTCATCACTCTGGGCCAGCCCTGGGTCCACTTCCAGGTGCCACTGACACTCCCTGGGGGTCCTGCTGACCCCCCGCCCCAAACCATCCCCATCAACACCATCTTCGTTGTGCGGTGTTCTGACGTCTCCTGCCTGCATGAGCAAGACCACAATGCTTGTAAGGCCTGCCCTAGACTCCCCATTCCCAGGGCGCGTTTCTCCTCTGTCCTAAGGACCCCTTTCTGCCTTCCCTGGGATGACCCCACTGCCCCGGGTGTGTCCCCTCTTCTCTGCAACGGTCCTCACTACCTCCGGACCAACCTCCCTTCCCCAGGGTGGGGCTCCCTGCTGCAAGACCACCCTCGCTGCCGTGTGTTCGTCCTCACCTACATGACCCTGATCCTGGTGTTCCTGGTTCTCTTCCTTCCCTAGACTTGCTGGACTCTGCCTGGGCCTTCTTCTTCATTTCCGCCTTCACCAGCTTCTGCCTCTGCCTCATACTCATAGACATCACCTTCTTCACCAAGTCCAACGTGCCCGTGCTGGACTTCTCCAACATCGTCCTCAGCAACCTGGCAGGCATGGCGCTGAGATCCTTTCTTTAGGGACACCAAGGCGAGGCGAACCTTGCCGGGTGCCTACCATGACACCCAAACCGCTCCCTCCAAACTCCAACCGCATCCCCTTCCCATCCTCACCTTCTGTCCCAATTCAAATCCTATCTCTTAACCCAGTGGTCGGCAAACTGCGGCTCGTGAGCCACATGCGGCTCTTTGGCCCCTTGAGTGTGGCTCTTCCACAAAATACCATGTGCGGGCACGCATGTAGTGTGCGATTGAAACTTTGTGGCCCGTGCGCAGAAGTCGGTATTTTGTAGAAGGGCCACACTCAAGGGGCCAAAGAGCCGCATGTGGCTCGCGAGCCGCAGTTTGCCGACCACTGTCTTAACCCATCCCAATAATATATATATATATATAATATATATATAAATTTTCAACCTAACCCCATCTCCAGCCCCAATACCAGCCCCCACTTCACTTCCCAGCTCCATCACCAACACATCTCAAACACATCCCCCGCCCCTTCCACGCTGTCCAGGCCCATCCCCACCCCCATGCCAATTCAATCTTCTCTCCAGAATCCAAGCCATCCCCCACCCCTTTACCAACGTCAGCACCCAATTGCAACCCCATCGCCCTATCACCTGTGAACCTCACTCTGAAACTCAACCTAACTCACTCCCAGCTCCATCCTCTTATCCATCTCCAGTCCATCCTTTCCCCCAACCACGACCCAACACCAACCTCCACCTCCACCTCCACCTCCTCCATCCTTATCTCTCAAACTTCAACCTCTACCAAGATCCCATCTCTATTTCCAGTTCCAGCCCCACCCCCAAACCCTGCCTCCTCGCCACCACCAGTGATTTTGTTCAAGCTACTTCATCTTTCTGAGCCAACTTCCTACCACGTGGAGATGTCGTGAGGACTGAACTGGGAAATGTCATCACCCGGTGTAGATATTGGACCTGTCCTTATCTCCATACTCCCACCCAAGTAACTCAACATTTATATTCCGATGAGAATAGTTTAGTTCCATTTGGATGTCAAATCACACTTTTTAGAAAAAGGGGCCGTGGGGAGCACTTTAATTTGGAAATGAAGGATATTGTCTTCTCTTGGGGTAATTGACCACAACTTTCAGTTGCATCAAGAGAGCATTTTTGGAGAGTGACGGTGACATTTCCGTGTTAGCAAATGTTATGTGTCCAGTCTGTCTGTTAGCTCTCCTTGATTGTTTAACTCTAAGGGATATGGGGTGGAAAACGCCTCACTTTTATGTCTTCTAAACTAGGACGTTTTCCTATAAGAAAATAATTTCTGCCCAGTCTCCCTTTTAATCAAAGGGAAAACACTTCCTATACTATGAAAATAAAGAAAAAATTACCCTACCCAGGCCCTAGCTGGGTAGCTCAGTTGGTTAGAGCATCGTCCTGATACACCAAGGTTGTGAGTTTTATCCTCAATCAGTGCACATACATGAATCAACCAATGAATGTATAAATAAGAGGAACAACTAATCGATGTTCTCTCTCTGTCTTCCTCACTCTCCATTCTCTCTCTCTCTCTCTCTCAAAAATTTATAAATAAAAATTACCCAGTACTCCATTCACTACCTGAAAAAACAAAAACTTTTCCTTTTCACAAATCATCTTTAATTCATGTCATTTAAAAATACAGCTAAAATATCCAGAATGACAGAGTTCCTTATCCACTACCTCAGAAACCCCAAAGTAAAGACCCAGTACAGTGATGTTAATCTGGCTTGATTCTTGAGGGCTCCCTGTGTGCCAGGAAATGGGCCAACCTCAATAACTCTTCTCCTGACAACCAGGGAGATGGTTCCTGCAATTATGCCCACTTTACAGATGGGGGGAATGAGGCTCAGAGAGATGGAGTGTGTCCCGACGGTGGGAGGCCGAGGCCAGACAAGCGTTCCAGTCAGTTGGCCCCAAAGCCTGTGGTTTTAGACACCCCCGTGGCCCACAGAAAGACCAAGACTTGCACTTCCAATGCCCTCTGCTATGACATTGTCAGGAGCCTCTTATCCTGCTTGTGAGCAGAGATACAGGGGGGCAAAGGAATTGGGGAAATAATGGGCAAGAGCCACGCAGTTACACAGCCAGGGGCACGGGTCTTCACACACCTGCTGTCCAGCCTCCTAACACCTGTACTCCTGCAGGGACCAGCATGGTATTGGGTGTCCTGTTCTACCTGCTGCAGGCCCATGAGTTCCTGCAGGAAGGCATGACGTACAGTCTGGGGCGTAGCTTCTACCTGGCGTGGACTGGCATCTTCTGCTTCCTGGCGATTGGTCTGAGCTGGGATGGGGTTGGGTTTGGACAGGGTTCCGTGATACCGATGGGGGACGGCCCGGGAAAGAGTTGGGGATGAGGATGGGGTTGGGTTTGGGTTAGGAAATGGATTATTGGTGGCAGGGTAGGGGATGGGTTAGGTTTGGGTTTGAAGGTGGAGGGTTGAGGAAAATGCAGGTGAAGGGGTTGGGGACAGGGTAGGGGATGAGATGGAACTGGGGACAGGATTGAATTTGGAAATGGATTCAGACAGTGCAGGGAATGGGGTTGAGGTTGGGTGTAGGGATGTATATGGGGACAGGGTAGGGAATGAGATGGAACTGGGGACGGGATTGAATTTGGAAATGGATTCGGACAGTGCAGGGAATGGGGTTGAGGTTGGGTGTAGGGATGTATATGGGGACAAGGTAGGGGGTATCATTGGGCATGGGGAGAGGACTGGGGTCCAGGTGGGGCTGGTGAACTCTACACCTCACCCCTCTGCTTTCTTCCTCCCTCAGGTATCATTTCCTACATGAACTACGTGAATTTCTGGTTCATCCTGGCACCCCAGGCCATCTGGACTTAGGACATGGGAATGGCCCTCCTTCCTTCCTGCTCCCACAGCTCCCTGCCACGGGGCTGAGACCCTGCTCTCCAGCCCTCACACCCGCCACGACTCTTGTCCCTTTTCAGTCCCCTCTGAGTCTCCCCCACTCAAATTACTAATCAGTATTTTTAAATCTGTACTTTTGCCCAGAATATGCTTTTGGCTTAGTACCTTAGTCAGTGTTCTGTGGAACTGTCATCCCTCCTGAGGTCGTCCCTTGGGCCCTGTGGGGTAGAAGGATGGGACTTAAGGGTAGAAGTGAGGGGAGGGAATCATGACAAAGAGACTCGAGGCACAAGGCCAGCCAAGAATTAGGCCAACGAGGATTTTTTTCCCATTGCTTTTCAGAGAGAGAAAGTGGGAGGGAGGTGGAGGGAAGAGAGAGAGAGAGAAAGAGAGAAGAGAGAAAGAGAGAGAGAGAGAGAGAGAGAGAGAGAGAGAGAGAGAGAGAGATTTATTTGTTGTTCCACTTATTTATGCATTCATTGCTTGCTGCTTGTATGTGCCCTGACCAGGGATTGAACCTGCAACCTTTAGGTGTACAGGACAATGCTCCAATCAACTGAGCTACCCGGCCAGGGGTCACATTTGTTTTTGTTTTTGTTTTTAACGCAGGCTGATTTGTAACTATGTGCCAGACACCGGATCTATAGCGGTGATCAAATTGGACACAAATCCTTGTCTTTACGGAACTGACATTTCATCTGGGAGGCAAAATAATAGGACCACTAACGAAGAGTTGGGTGTGTTAGGGGATCCGTGCTATGAAGAGAAACAAAGGAGTGCAAGGGAGACCGGTCTGTTCGGTAAAGAGAAGGGGGGTTGGGGGGGCCTCTCTGCTAAGGTGACACCTGAGCGGAATCATGGCTCAAGAGAGGAAGAGAGCAAATGGAGTCAGATTGCGGGAAAGAGTTCCAGGCAGAGGGAACAGCAAATGCAAAGGTCCTGGGGCGCAACTGTGTGCTTGGCAGGTCCTAAGAAGGCCCGGGAACCAGCGTGCCCGTGGGGCCCGGGCAAGGGAGGGGAGGGAGGAGGATTAGGGGACCAGGCACCTCACTCCCAGCCTCGGGGCCACAGCGAAGCCCTGGCTTCACTCGGGGGTGGCCTGTGGTCCGGGTAGGAAACGCCTCGTTTTTCCTAAGAGAGGAGTTCGCATCTCTTCCTTTCACTTGGGACTACAGACTTCACGGGAGGACTCTCCCAGCCAGAAGGAAGGAAAAAACCCCAGAAAACGAGGGGACCCAGCTAAACAACGTGTGTTCTGCTCACGTGTGTGTGTGCGCGCGCGCGCACGTATGTGTATGTGTGTGCATGTGTGGTGTGTGTGCCTGTGCGCGCGCTCACGTGTGTGTATGTGTATGCATGTGCGGTGTGTGTGCGTGCGTGTGCGTGCGTGCGTGTGTGTGTGTGTGTCATAAAGAGTCCGCACCAAACTGTTGACCACGGCGACCTCTGGTGTGTGGGTTGACATAGAAAAGTTTCCTATTTCATCTTTGAAAAACAAAACTAAACAAAAAACAAAACATACCTGGGCTGCGGGCACATCCCCAGTAGGGGGTGCGCAGGAGGCGGCTGATGGATGTTTCTCTCTCATCGATGTTTCTAACTCTCTATTCCTCTCCCTTCCTCTCTGTAAAAAATCAATAAAATATAAAAAGAAAACAAAAAACCGTTTTACCATCACGTCTGTGGAAACACACGCCTTAGGTCGCCAACTTACCATGAAACCCAGCCCCCAGGTCTTTGGCGATCTAAAAGCCGGGGAACGAGCACCAAACGCGGTCCTGCCTCAGCTCGAGTCCTGTCCCCGTCCTCCTCCCTCGGACCCGGGAGTCCAGGACCCCAGCCCGCCCCCCTCTTCCCGCTTCCCCGCCCCCCGCACCTCCCCGCCCCGAACCAGAGTCCAGGCTAAGCCTCTACTCCTCGGCACCTGAGCGCCCTCCCAGAACTCCCCCCTGTCAATCTCAGCTCTGACCCCGCCTCCCACTCTGCGCGCCACACCGCCAGTTTTCCCTGCGGGCCCCGCCTCCACTCGGGGTCCTTCCCCTTCCCGGTCCTTCTTTGGGGCTGTCCACCGAAGTGCCTGACGCTCCTGACAGGACAACAGGCGGCGATGTTTCCTCGGTTTGTGTTGTCCGCCTACGGGGGCAACGTATTATGTCCCGACGTTCAGGAGGATTCTAACGGGGACAGACACTGTCCGTCCTCAAGCACCGAAGCGGGGTTTCTGGCACCGGCGCCGCCACTAGACGCCTCGGGGCGGGCCCCAGACTGGCCGTGGGGGGTCCTCGCGAGCGGCGCGCTCCCTAAAGTGGGACGCGAGCGCGAGCGCGAGCCCCGCCGCGTTTGTTGAGGAGAAAGTCGGAATCGGGTGAGTTTCCTTCGTGTTCGGTTTCTTTCCGTCTGCGCGGCGGGGCTTGGGGATCCGGGCCGCGCGTGCAATGAGGTGGCCGGGGCTGTGGCGGGATGGCCACGCTGTCGCGTCGTTAGGACCACGGCCTTCGCCCCGCATCTTGGGGCGTCTGGAGCGGGTGGGGGGCGCGCGCAGTGGGGAGGACTCTCGCCGCTGGCGCGCTCGGCCTGGGCGTCCGCCATTTTGTCCGTCTTCCTGGGGGGCGGGGGGCGTGAGGCGGCGAGTTCTCCTGAGGTTTACCGCGCGCGCTTCCCTTCGGACGTTGCTTCTGTGTTTCCCACCCCAGGCGGCTGCGCATGCTTTGCCGCTTCGAACAGAGACTGAGGGGAGTTCGGACCCCAGAGGCCACGAAGGGGAAGGTGGGAGTGGGGTCTCCGCGCGAATGCCTGGTGTTCTGAGAAGCGGATAGGAATGGCCTCAGGAGAAGACAAACGAGGCCTCTGTCCGCCGTCAGGAATCCTGTTGACCCCGTCGCTCCGAGCAGTCGGTTAAACGTTAGTTCTGGGCTAGTCGGGCCTTAATGCAGCGGTTCTCAACCTTGGCTGCACGTTAGAGTCACCTGGGAATCTTTTAAATCCTGATTTCCGGGCCTCATCCTCCGCAAATTCTGTTTCTTTGTGATGGGGTGGGCCCACAACATTAGTAACAAAGAGACAGAATTTGCGGAGGATGAGGCCCGGAAATCAGGATTTTAAAAAGATTCCCAGGTGACTCTAACTGAAAGAATAAAATTGTTTAAAAGCTGCCTGTGTTTAAACGCTGCCTGTTTTAATCTCAACTCCCCAAGGTCCCCCGCCAGTGATGGGAACAAAGCCCTTAAAGCTTTCCCAGGAAACAGCCCCGAGCAAAGAGCAAGCTGAGCAAACAGCGCTCTGACAGTTAAGAAAAACAGGATATGAGATTACCAGATGGGACTGTTAACTAAACTTAAGCCCTGTCATGAAACATGTTATTAACGAGCCCAGTTCCCCTTTGGAATTCTTTTGTTCCCCTCTTCCCCCTTCCGTGTGTAACCCCTCCCAATGTGTGGTTTTTGCCTATATATACTTGTAAGACTTTGCTCGGGGCTCGACTCCTCTGCTCCTGCCTGAGTTACGAGTTGAGCCCCAGCGCGCTGGAATAAAGCCTCTTTTTTTTTTTTAATTAAATCTTTATTGTTCAGATTATTACATTTGTTCCTCTTTTTTCCCCCCATAACTCCCCTCATCACAGTTCCCGCCCCATCCTCCGCCCTCACTCGCCACCCACTGTCCTCTTCCATAGGTGCACGATTTTTGTCCAGTCTCTTCCCGCATTTCCCACACCCCTTTCCCCCCCAAGAATAGTCAGTCCATTCCCTTTCTATGTCCCTGATTCTATTATGATCACCAGATTATTTATTCACTTGATTCTTAGATTCACTTGTTGATAGATGCATATTTGTTGTTCATAATTTGTATCTTTACCTTTTTCTTCTTCTTCCTCTTCTTAAAGGATACCTTTCAGCATTTCATATAATACTGGTTTGGTGGTGATGAGCTCCTTTAGCTTTTCCTTATCTGTGAAGCTCTTTATCTGACCTTCCGTTCTGAATGATAGCTTTGCTGGATAAAGTAATCTTGGTTGTAGGTTCTTGGTATTCATCACTTTGAATATTTCTTGCCATTCCCTTCTGGCCTGCAAAGTTTCTGTTGAGAAATCAGCTGACAGTTGTATGGGTATTCCCTTGTAGGTAACTGAGTTTCTTTCTCTTGCTGTTTTTAAGATTCTCTCTTTGTCTTTTGCTCTTGGCATTTTAATTATGATGTGTCTTGGTGTGGTCCTCTTTGGATTCCTTTTGTTTGGGATTCTCTGCGCTTCCTGGACCTGTAAGTCTATTTCTTTCACCAGGTGGGGGAAGTTTTCTGTCATTATTTCTTCAAATAGGTTTTCAATATCTTGCTCTCTCTCATCTTCTGGCACCCCTATAATGCTGATGTTGGTACGCTTGAAGCTGTCCCAGAGGTTCCTTACATTATCTTCGTATTTTCGGATTCTTTTTTCATTTTGCTTTTCCAGTTGGGTGTTTTTTGCTTCTTCGCGTTTTGAATCTTTGACTTGATTCTTGCGCTCCTCTGGTCTGCTGTTGGGTGTCTGTATAGTATTCTTTATTTCAGTCAGTGTATGCTTAATTTCTAGTTGGTTCTTTATCATAACATTGAGGGTCTCATTAGATTTCTTGAGGATCTCACTACATTTATCGGCGGTCTCACCAGTCTTTTCGAGGGCCTTACTAAGTTTATCGGCAGCTTCTAGACAGTTCTTGAGAGACCTTAAAAGTGTGGTTTTGAGCTCTATATCTTCCATTTCTGACATTTGCGTCCTGTTTCTTTGTCTCCGCATTTTTTATCTTTTCTTGGTGCACCCCCTAGTGGTCTTTGTGCGCAGTCTTGTAGTTAAGCCTTGATTGTTGTCGGTAATACCAGGGGTGATTTGACCTCCAGGCTAACTCGTGCTGGAATAAAGCCTCTTGCTGTTTGCATCAAGTGACGCCTCCTGCGGTTGATTGGGGTTGCCGTCGATCCGCGGGACAGAGTAAGGGTCTCCCTCTGGGGGGCCTTACATTTGGGGGCTCGTCCGGGATTTGACAACCACCCCTCACCCGCGGAGTCGACCTTGGAGGTAAGAAGGGGTACCCCGAGGTTGTCTGTCTTTGTCTTATGTTTTTTGGTCTGGTCCTGTGTGCGCGCTTTCGGTTTTGCAGCCGTTCGGCGACTCGTGAGAGTGGCTAAACAGTGGTCGGTAGATGTGCCTGGAGGGCCACAGGTTGCAGCCCTGGGGGACGCCCCAAGGGTGGAGGAGAGCCAGGGACGCTTGGTAGTCTCCTACTGTCAGGGCGCTGATCGGGTTCAACTGTTGGATCAGAGATTGTCTAGATCGCGCCCGTCTGATTCCGTTACGTGTTTGTGGCGGGCAAGGTGGGGTAAGTGGGTCCTCGTGTCTGTAACATTTTTGTTATTTGTGTTTCTAACGACGTACGAACTGACGATGGGACAGACTGTGACAACCCCTCTTAGTCTGACCTTAGACCATTGGACTGAAGTTAAGGGAAGAGGTCGCGACCTATCAGTTGAGATCAGGAAAGGTCCATGGCGGACCTTCTGCTCCTCAGAATGGCCTACTTTTAATGTAGGGTGGCCAACCAAGGGAACCTTTGACCTATCTGTTATTTTTGCTGTTAAGGAGATTGTTTTTCAGAAAGAACCTGGAGCCCATCCGAATCAGCAGCCCTACATCGTGGTCTGGCAGGACCTGGTGCAAAATCCACCCCCCTGGGTTCGACCTTGGGTTGCAAAACCCAAGCCCCGGCCGGACGCTCGAGTTCTAGCCGTCCAATCTCCCAGTTCGGGGGGGAAACCAGTCACTCGGACCCCCCCCCAAGAGGATTTATCCAGAAACCCAGGCTGACCTCCTTCTCCTTGACCCACCTCCCCCGTATCCTCCTGCCTTGGTTCCTGTAGGGGGTCGGGAAGAGCCAGAAGTACCGCCGGCCCCTGCAGTTGCCCCCTCTGCTCCCCCTAACGAGTCTCTGCCGGGGCCTGCGCAGGGCACCAGGAGCCGCCGCGGAATGACTCCCGACACCACCGTCGCCCTTCCCCTAAGGGCCTTTGGGCCCCCGCTGGTGGCGACGGAGGGTGGACCGGCTCCTCTTCAGCCCCTCCAGTACTGACCTTTTTCCTCCGCAGATTTGTATAACTGGAAGACTAATCATCCTCCCTTTTCAGAGGACCCCCAGCACTTAACCGGGCTGGTGGAGTCTTTAATGTTCTCTCATCAGCCCACATGGGATGATTGCCAGCAGCTACTACAGACTCTTTTCACTACTGAGGAGAGGGAGAGGATTCTATTGGAGGCAAGGAAGAATGTACCAGGAACAGATGGCCGTCCCACCCAGCTCCCCAACATCATTGAGACTGCCTTCCCCCTTTCCAGGCCTGACTGGGATTTCAACACGGCAGAAGGTAGGGAGCGACTGACAGTCTATCGCCAGTCTCTAGTGGCTGGCCTCCACAGGGCAGCGAGACGCCCCACTAATTTGGCTAAGGTAAGAGAGGTTATCCAGGGGGCCACGGAATCCCCGTCAGTATTTCTTGAGCGCTTAATGGAAGCTTTCGGGCGCTACACCCCGTTTGACCCTACCTTGGAGGGGCAAAGGGCTTCCGTGGCCATGGCTTTTATAGGGCAGTCAGCATTAGATATTAAGAGAAAATTGCAGAGAATAGAAGGGTTACAGGATTATACCCTACAGGATTTAGTCAAGGAGGCAGAGAAAGTGTATCATAAGAGGGAAACTGAGGAGGAAAAAGAGCAAAGAAAAGAAAAGGAAAGAGAGGAAAGAGAAAACAAAAGGGATCGTAAGCAGGAGAAGAATCTGACACGGATTTTGGCCGCAGTAGTAGGTGAGAGAGGCCAGGAACAAACCCAGAGCAGGGCTAAAAGGTCAGGTAACCTGGGCAACCGCACCCCATTAGACAAAGATCAGTGTGCATACTGCAAGGAAAAAGGTCACTGGGCTAGAGAGTGCCCTAAGAAGAAAAAGAACGGCTCCTCCAAGAAAGTGTTAGCCCTGGAGGAAGAAGAGGATTAGCGGGGACGGGGCTCGGAACCCCTCCCCAAGCCTAGGGTAACACTAGAGGTGGAGGGGAAGCCAGTTGAGTTCCTAGTAGACACTGGGGCTCAACACTCGGTCCTACTCGAACCAGCTGGACCTGTCTCCCACAAGAAATCGTGGGTCATAGGAGCCACAGGGCACCAGCAGTACTCATGGACTACCCGAAGAGCGGTAGACTTAGGAACGGGACGGGTAACCCACTCGTTTCTGGTCATCCCCGAGTGCCCTGCGCCTCTACCTGGGAGAGATCTCCTAACCAGAATGGGAGCCCAGATTACCTTCACCCCTGATGGCCCGGAGGTGACCCAAAGCAAGAGAATGGCTACTGCCCTGACCATACACCTAGATGATGAACATAGACTTTTTGAGGAACAGGGAGCAGAGATAAGTCACATAAATGACTGGTTGAACAGGTATCCGGGGGCGTGGACCGAGGCGGCTGGAACAGGACTAGCTGCAGAAAGGCCGCCCATAGCCATAGAGCTTAAGGCCACTTCTACTCCTGTGGCTGTACGCCAATATCCCATGACTAAGGAGGCCCGGGAAGGAATTAGGCCCCATATCCAGCGCCTCCTTCAACAGGGCATCCTAGTGAAGTGTCACTCGCCATGGAACACTCCCCTGTTACCTGTTAAGAAGCCCGGCACAGGAGATTATCGCCCGGTACAGGACTTAAGGGGAGTGAACAAGCGAGTACAGGATATCCACCCCACTGTGCCTAACCCTTACAACTTGTTGAGCTCTCTCCCCCCGGATCATATTTGGTATACTGTCTTGGATTTAAAGGACGCTTTCTTCTGCCTGCAACTGCACCCTTCCAGCCAGAACATCTTTGCATTCAAGTGGAGGGACCCTGACTCTGGGACTACAGGACAACTGACTTGGACCCGATTACCCCAGGGGTTCAAGAATTCCCCGACCCTCTTCGATGAAGCTCTTCACCAAGATTTAGCCCACTTCCGCGCCAGCCATCCCCAGGTAACACTTCTGCAGTATGTAGATGACTTACTACTAGCCACAGAGGAAGAGTGCCAACGGGGCACGGGACTACTGCCAGAAGAACTCGCCCGCTTAGGATATCGGGCCTCCGCCAAGAAGGCCCAGATCTGCCAAAAAGAGGTAACGTACCTGGGGTACGCCCTCAAAGGGTGGCAGAGATGGCTAACGGAGGCCAGGAAACAAACTGTGACTCAGATACCCGTTCCTCACTCACCCCGCCAGGGAATTTTTAGGGACTGCGGGGTTTTGGCGCTTATGGATCCCTGGGTTTGCTACCCTGGCCGCTCCCCTCTATCCTCTGACTAGAGAGGGTGCCCCGTTTGAGTGGGGTAACAGCCAACAGCAGACCTTTGATGACATCAAGAAGGCATTACTGTCAGCCCCGGCCCTGGCATTACCGGACGTAGCAAAGCCCTTCGTCCTATATGTGGACGAGAGAGGGGGAGTAGCCCAAGGGGTGCTGACCCAGCCTCTAGGGCCATGGAAGAGGCCGGTAGCCTACCTCTCCAAGAAGCTGGATCCTGTTGCTAGTGGTTGGCCTGCCTGCCTGAGGTCCATGGCGGCAGTGGCAGTGTTGGTGAAAGATGCTGACAAATTAACTATGGGACAAAAGCTAACGGTCATTGCCCCCCACTCCTTGGAGAGCATCATCAGGCAGCCCCCTGATCAGTGGCTGTCCAACGCCTGCATGACACACTACCAGAGTCTCCTACTGAATGGAGACAGGATTCAGTTTGGGCCGCCTGCCATCCTCAACCCGGCTACCCTACTACCCGACACGTCCACCCAGGAGAGTGTGCTGCACACCTGTCAAGAGATACTAGCAGAGGAAACGGGGACCCGAAGGGACCTCCGAGACCAGCCCTTGCCAGACGCTCAGCTGACCTGGCTCACTGATGGAAGCAGCTACATAATAGAAGGTAAAAGGGTGGCCGGGGCAGCTGTGGTGGACGATGAGCAAATTATCTGGGCAAGTAGCCTACCCGAGGGGACGTCAGCTCAGAAGGCCGAGTTACTAGCTCTGACTCAGGCCCTACGATTGGCAGAAGGAAAGAAGATTAACATCTACACTGATAGCAGGTATGCCTTTGCTACTGCCCATGTCCACGGGGCTATCTACCGGCAGCGGGGGCTACTAAGCTCGGCAGGGAAGGAAATCAAAAATAAAGAAGAAATTCTAAGCCTATTTGAGGCTGTTCACCTTCCTAAGAAAGTGGCAATTATTCACTGTCCCGGACATCAGAAAGGAGGGTCCAGGGTTGCCGGAGGGAATCAAAGGGCTGACAGAGAAGCCAAGCGGGCGGCTCAGGGACTCAACATCCTATCCTTGTCTGGGGAAAAACCGAGGTCTCACCCTGAGGATACGGTATACCCCTCTATCAGGAACTTTGATTATTCAGAACCAGACCTTGATAGAATGGACAGATTAGGATTTCGCCTGGAGACTCCAGAGGGGATCCGGGAAACCTCAGAAGGAAAAAGAATCCTCCCTGAAAAACAGGCTATCATTTTTCCCAGACACCTTCATAAGTTAACTCATCTGGGCCCAACACATTTAAAAACTATTGTCCAGTCATCACCGTATTATATCATGAAACTAGGGGAGCTCGCGGATACAACTGTAAAAGAATGCAAGCCTTGCCAGATGGTGAATGCCCAGCCCAGCAAGCTATCTCAGGGCAAACGGCTCCGAGGAGACCACCCTGGGAGTTACTGGGAGGTAGACTTTACTGAGGTAAAGCCAGCCAGGTATGGATACAGATACTTATTGGTATTCATAGATACATTTTCAAGATGGGTCGAAGCCTTCCCTACCAAGAAAGAGACTGCTCAGGTGGTGGCCAAGACAATACTAGAAGACATCTTCCCGAGATTCGGGGTGCCCAAGGTAATCGGGTCAGACAACGGCCCTGCGTTTGTTGCCCACGTAAGTCAGGGACTGGCCAAAATCCTGGGGCTTGATTGGAAATTACATTGTGCTTATAGGCCCCAAAGCTCAGGGCAAGTAGAAAGAATGAATAGAACTTTAAAAGAGGTCATGACTAAATTATCCTTAGAGACTGGCATAACAGACTGGACAGTCCTCCTTCCCTTTGCTTTGTTTCAGGTCCGCAATACCCCTGGCTCCCTCAAGCTAACTCCTTTTGAAATTCTTTATGGGACTCACCCCCCACTCATTACCATACAGCACCTTCCTTCCCCAGAATCTTACTCCTCTCAATCTCTGTACGCCAGATTAAAAGCCCTTGAGACTGTGCAGAGGGAAGTGTGGAATTGGTTGGCCGAGGCCTACAAGCCTGGAGACCTGCAAGTACCTCATCAGTTCCAGGTCGGAGACTCGGTGTACATTCGGCGCCACCGTGCGACCAGCTTGGAACCGAGGTGGAAAGGACCATACATAGTGCTGCTCACGACTCCGACCGCAGTAAAGGTCGATGGCATCGCCGCCTGGATCCACGCTTCACATGTCAAGCCCGCGCCACCACCAGACCCAGTGTAGAAAGTGGAAAAAATGGACAACCCCCTCAAGCTCCGCATTCGCCGTGTTCCTGCTCCTGCTGACGCACTTCCCACTGACAAGTAGCCCTAACCCTCATGCCTCCCAGCGATTAACATGGCAGGTCCTCTCCCAGACTGGAGATGTAATATGGAGCACCACCAAGGAGAACCCCCTTTGGGCCTGGTGGCCGTCCTTAACCCCAGGCATTTGCGCCTTAGTAGCTGGATTAGACAATTGGGATATCCCCGGTATAACCTATGAGGAGGTTCCATCAGAATCTGATCGCTACTTGGCAAAGCGCTCACTTACCCAAGGCTCCACATCCCGAGGCCAGTATATTGCAGACGCTCCTGGCTGTAGTAACTCGGCTGCCCAACGCCGGATGCGGCTAACGCAGTTTTACGTCTGTCCCCGGGATGGGAGATCAAGGAGCGAGGCCAAGAGATGCGGGGGGGTAGAAAATTTCTACTGTAAGCAATGGACATGTGAAACTACTGGAGAGGCCCACTGGCATCCCACCTCCTCCTGGGACTTAATAACCGTAAAAAGGAGCAGTATTGGGGCGGGGTCAAACCCCCTCAATATTTCCTTCACGGAGAGGGGGAGACAGGCCCGAGCTTGGATGCAAGGGAGAACATGGGGATTCCGTTTCTATATGTCAGGGTGGGACAAGGGTTTTACCTTCTCTATCAAGCTCAAGGTTGAAACCCCGACCGCCGTCTAAGTGGGGCCTAACCTGGTACTATCTGAACAGTGGTCACCAACCGCCCATGTCAGGCCGCCTGTTCCCCACAGGAGCTACAACAAATAAGTCCAATGATACGGCCCGGCTCAATCCAGTTACAACCCCCTTGGTCCCCGGCCTTGCAAATATGCCCGAGATACCGAGCACAGGGCAGAGGCTCCTTAATCTGATACAGGGAGCTTTCAGCGTTCTCAATGCTTCCAACCCTAACCTGACTGAGTCTTGCTGGTTATGTCTAGTATCAGGCCCTCCCTATTACGAGGGGATTGCCTTCTCAGGGACCTTTAATAATACCACCTCCCATGACTCCTGTAGCTGGGGGTCGAACAGTAAACTTACCCTTACAGAAGTCTCTGGGCATGGCACCTGCTTAGGCACAGTTCCTACAAACCATAAGCATCTGTGCAATCGGACCATAGGAAGCCCCCAAACAACTACCAACTACTATCTGGTCCCCCCTGTAGGTGGATGGTGGGCCTGCAGTACAGGACTGACCCCATGTGTTTCCTCATCGGTGTTCAACACCACCAAAGACTACTGTGTCCTTGTGCAGCTGGTACCTAGAGTTATCTACCACGAGGCAGGTTCTTTCGAGGCTGAGTTTGACCTACGGCCCCGTAGGCAGAAGAGGGAACCGATCTCGCTCACTTTAGCCGTCCTGCTGGGTCTGGGGGTAGCGGCCAGAGTAGGAACAGGGACGACCGCGCTCGTTCAGACTCTTCAGTATATCGAGGGGTTACGTACGGGCAGCTGTAAATGAAGATCTAAAAGCTGTAGAACAATCAATCACAAAATTAGAAGAGTCAATGACCTCTTTATCTGAGGTGGTACTGCAGAATAGGCGAGGCTTAGATCTCCTATTCCTCAAAGATGGTGGATTATGTGCTGCACTAAAAGAAGAATGTCGTTTTTACATAGATCACTCTGGTGTAATAAAAAATTCCATGTCCAAACTTAGAGAAAGATTAGAAACAAGACAACGAGATCAGGAAGCGAATCAAGGGTGGTTTGAGAGTTGGTACAGCCGGTCCCCTTGGTTCACCACCCTCATATCCACCCTGATGGGTCCCCTTATTATACTGCTTTTAATTCTCACTTTTGGGCCCTGCATCTTAAATCGCCTAGTCACCTTCATCAGGGAGAGAATAAGTGCTGTACAGGTACTAATGCTCAGGCAGCACTACCAGTCCCTCCGCCAGGGAGACAGCCTCGGAGAAGGATATATAAAGACAGAAGTTCCATGATTAGAACTTACCAAAAAGCAAATGGGGGAATGAAAGAATAAAAATGTTTAAAAGCTGCCTGTTTTATCTCAACTCCCCAAGGTCCCCCGCCAGTGATGGGGACAAAGCCCTTAAAGCTGTCCCAGGAAACAGCCCCGAGCAAAGAGCAAGCTGAGCAAATAGCGCTCTGACAGTTAAGAAAAACAGGATATGAGATTACCAGATGGGACTGTTGACTAAGTTTAAGCCCTGTCATGAAACATGTTATTAACGAGCCCAGTTCCCCTTTGGAATTCCTTTGTTCCCCTCTTCCCCCTTCCGTGTGTAACCCCTCCCAATGTGTGGTTTTTGCCTATATATACTAGTAAGACTTTCTGCTTGGGGCTCCTGCGTGAGTTACGAGTTGAGCCCCAGCGCGCTGGAATAAAGCCTCTTGCTGTTTGTATCAAGTGACGCCTCCTCCGGTTGATTGGGGTTGCCGTCGATCCGCGGGACAGAGTAAGGGTCTCCCTCTGGGGGTCTTACATAACGTGCAGCCAAGGTTCAGAACCGCTGCCTTATGGCCTTGGATTTGGGCTTCTTGGCTGCTGGGCAATGGCTCACCCCAGGCTACCGGCTGTGAAGCTCATTTCCCGTCTCCCCCACCAAACCACTATGTCCCAAGTGGGAAGATTTTTCTCATTCATTCATCATTGGCATTGCCATCTTTTCGCTACTGCCCCATAGGTTTCTTTTCTCTTTTTCTTTTTAAATATATTTTATTGATTTTTTACAGAGAGGATGAGAGAGAAACATCAATCAACTGCCTCCTGCACGCCCCCCACTGGGGATGTGCCCACAACCAAGGTACATGCCCATGGCCGGAATTGAACCTGGGACCCTTGGGTCCGAAGGCTGACTCTCTATCCACTGAGCCAAGCTGGTTAGGGCTGAGCAACAACACTTTTTACTTTTTATTAGTGAAATATCCAAACATACAGGAAATACACATAATCTTGATATTGGAAACAAGTCACATGTTTGTGTTATTTGTACTTAAAGTGTTTTTATTTATTTTTTTCTGCACTTAGTGGGGTTTTTTGTTTTTTGTTTGTTTTTTTAGTTTTATTGCTTAAACTATTACAAAGGGTATTACATATGTCTCCTTTTTCCCCCCACCCTTGACAATCCCCTGGCCTCCCCTACCCACTAGTTTTTTATGTCCATTGGTTATGCTTATATGCATGCATATAAGTCCTTCAGTTGATCTCTTACTCCCCCCACCCTCCCCGGCCTTCCCGCTGTAGTTTTACAGTCTGTTTGAGGCAACTCTGCCTCTGTATCAATTATTGTTCAAAAGTTTATAATGGTCTCTATTATCCATGAATGAGTGAGATCAAGTGGTATTTTTCCTTCATTGACTGGCTTATTTCACTTAGCATAATGCTCTCCAGTTCCATCCATGCCGTTGCAAATGGTAAGAGTTCCTTCTTTTTTAGAGCAGCATAGTATTCCATTGTGTAGATGTACCACAGTTTTCTAATCCATTCATCTACTGATGAGCACTTAGGCTGTTTCCAGATCTTAGCTATGGTGAATTGTGCTGCTATGAACATAGGGGTGCATATATCCTTTCTGATTAGTGTTTCTGGTTTCTTGGGATATATTCCTAGAAGTGGGATCACAGGGTCAAATGGGAGTTCCATTTGTAGTTTTTTGAGGAAACTCCATACTGTCTTCCACAGTGGCTGCACCAGTCTGCATTCCCACCAGCAGTGCACGAGTATTCCTTTTTCTCCACATCCTCTCCAGCACTTGTCGTTTGTGGATTTGTTGATGATAGCCATTCTGACAGGTGTGAGATGGTACCTCATTGTTGTTTTGATTTGCATCTCTCGGATGATTAGTGACTTTGAGCATGTTTTCATATATCTCTTGGCTTTCTGAATGTCCTCTTTTGAAAAGTGTTTATTTAGATCCTTTGCCCATTTTTTTGATTGGATTGTTTATCTTCCTTTTGTTAAGTTGTATGTGTTCCCTATAAATTTTGGAGATTAGGCCCTTATCAGATATGACATTGGCAAATATGTTTTCCCACGCAGTGGGCTTTCTTGTTGTTTTGTTAATGGTTTCTTTTGCTGTTCAGAAGCTTTTTATTTTGAAGTAGTCCCATTTGTTCATTTTCTCTTTAGTTTCAAGTGCCCTAGGAACTGTATCAGTGAAGAAATTGCTTCGGCATATGTCTGAGATTTTGTTGCCTTTGGATTCTTCTAGAATTTTTATGGTTTCTGGTCGTACATTTAAGTCCTTTATCCATTTTGAGTTTATTTTTGTGTATGGTGTATGTTGGTGGTCTAGTTTCATTTTCTTGCATGTATCTGTCCAATTTTCCCAACACCATTTATTGAAGAGACTATCTTGACTCCATTGTATGTTTTTGCCTCCTTTGTCAAATATTAATTGAGCATATTGGTTCGGGCCGATTTCTGGGCTCTCTATTCTATTCCATTGATCTATATGTCTGTTCTAGTGCCAGTACCAGGCAGTTTTGAGAACAGTGGCTTTGTAATACAGCTTGATATCTGGTATTGAGATCCCACCAACTTTGTTCTTTCTCAAGATTGCTGCAGCTATTCGGGGTCTTTTTTTATTCCAGATGAATTTTTGGAGAGTTCGTTCTAGATCTGTGAAATATGTCGTTGGTATTTTAATGGGAAGTGTGTTGAATTTATAGATTGCTTTGGGTAGTATGGACATTTTAATGATGTTGATTCTACCAATCCATGAACACGGTATGTTCTTCCATCTCTTTATGTCTTCCTCTATCTCTTTTTTCAACGTCCTGTAGTTTTCTGAGTAGAGGTCTTTTACCTCTTTAGTTAAGTTTATTCCTAGGTAGCTTAATTTTTTTGGTGCGA